ACTTATGTGTATTTGTTGGTGTATATATATATATATATATATATATATATATATATATATATATATATATATATATATATATATATATATATATATGCACATATATATATATGTATATATATATACATATATACATATATATATATATACATATATATATATATATATATATATTTGTTTCTCTTTCGTGATGAATAGTTATTAATATACCGTTACCAATTCAAGTATGTGTTATTTTGGAGTATACATGTAGATGATGCAATGACTAAGATTCTATTTAAGAAAACCTGCTGAACTTGTAAATTAAATGACAAACTTAAAAAAACTGCTGCCAGTTGGTAGTCAAAATTGGTATTTTAAAAAAAATTGGAATTTAAAGAAAATTTGGAGGAGGACTGCAAAATCGTAACCGTAAAATCGGATTGTAAAGTCGTAGGATTTTTCATATCTTGTAAATTTAAATTGCATGCCAGAATTCATGTCTCAATACATATAAAACATCTCATACCATAAATAAAATATCCACCATAAAAAACATTTCTCAACATAAATAGAACGTGATTTATTGGTTGTTGATTACTGGATTAGTCCTTGGTCGTTGTTGGTTTTGTTTGTGTTAGGGTTCAATATGAAAGAAAGTTGTTGCGAATGTTGTGATTCACTAAATGAGGATTTTACTTTTCTTTCACTCTTTTCATTGGGCTAAACAATCTTTTATTATCTATTTAGAAATTATGAAATGTAATCTTAAGGGAAACTTTGTTTATATCGGAAACCTGGAAATTTCTTGTATAAAAGCACGTATTTCGTAAACCTTATTCTCTTTTAAAGAAAGAAAAAGAGGCTCGGGAGAGCCCTAGATTATATTTGTTCTCCTAAGTGGCAGCATATACATGTATAGCAATTTACTTCACCAAAATTAGATTTGAATGTCATCTGGGATATGCACGCGTATACAATTTGCTGAATGAATTCCGTCACAATTCTGATCTACATGTGCGAAGACATAGTCTGATCTTTAGTTGTTTCTATCTGAGCATTTGCATTCTATACATGAATGTTAACATTTTTTTGATAGTTGTTTACACTTTGCTTACAAGCTCCTTTGATGTTCGTCGCCTGCTATGACATACTTGATATTATTTTCTTGAAGACGAGCCTAACCTTTTTTCTTTAATTTTATATTGTGCAGGTCACAAGGTAAGCACTCAAATTGCTTTTTTACGCAGGAGTCTTGGTCGTGTATTATCGCTTATCAGAGAGGAAGTCTTTTATCTCGACTCCTCTGATTTCCGTGATTTGCTTTAAGTGTGTTTCTTGATTTCTTGTTTGCTTTTGACATTTGATTTAAGAATTTCATGAAGAGAGGATAGTAAAAGCTTTTGTGTATTATCGCTTATCAGATAGGAAGTATGTTATCACGATATCCTCTATGATTTCCGTGATTTTCTTTAAGTGTGTTTCTTGATTTCTTGTTTGTTTTTGACATTTGACTTAAGAATTTCATCAAGGGAGGATAGTAAAAGCTGTGTCTGATCCGAGTTTCATCATAGTACTGTACTTGCTTAAAGTTAGTTTTAATTGACCTATTGTGCAACTATTTTATATGCTTCAGAGTTCTGTGGAAGTATATGTTGGTCGTAGAATTCTCTGTTGGAACAACAAACAGATGCAGCTCTTCTTAAGAGTAGCTAAATATATTATGAAATGTATTTATGCATTTAATCATTTTATGAGGCGTTCTTATGTTAATTACCATACATTTTGTGTTGTTTTGTAACTTAACCCCTGTTATTGGCCAAGTTTCCCCCTATGCAACCTTTCTTGCACATCATGTAATGCTACTTTGACTTGCATTATTACTCCGTATTTTATGTAACTAAAATGAACTTTGACTACTGGTTTTTATCATGCAGAATGTTTATTCCTAGGGCTTGTTACTTTTTTGGAGAATGTGATCCCATCTTTGTTCTAAGTGAACTATTTTTTTTATTTTAATTGTAGCAAAATCCGTTATCTGTGAGATCATAGCAATCTTTTTTGGTAGTAAAGATTCTATGTTTTTATTCTAAGTCATTGAAGGATTTTGGATCTACTGCGTCTGACGTTAAAAAACCTACTTGGTATATTTAGTTATGTTCCCTTTGCTTAATTATTTGTTGCCGCCATTTATGTAGAGACTAAATTGTATGACATAAGTAATCCTCTCTTTATGATTTAGGCAACTTGTGTTTAGGTACTAATATTTTGTTTCCGTTGTAACATTTTTCTTGAATTCACGGCGTCTCTTTGCAGCTAAGGCTGATGTGTCCTGTGTTGTCTATAAAATTGGTGAATGCATGCAAGAACTCATAAAGCTGTGGAAGGAATATGAATTAGTGCCAGCTGGTGAAGGCTCTCAAAATGGCCCTACTTTAGAGATCCGTATACCAGCTGAACATGTTACTGCAACTAACCGCCAAGTAAGAAAAGTTTTTTATTCGTTGCTTTGCTGTTAATGTTATTGTGCAAGTTTTCATGCAGCCCTATCTTTGAAATTTACTTTTTCTGTTTGATTTTCAAAATCTCATATGGCTAGTCGATCTTCCTTTGGGCAAATTTCAAGCCTTAAATTTACTCATGCTTTCCATCATAAACGCACACTTGCCTATTCAGCTTCCTTACTTTATACCTGTTATGTAATGATGGATAGACTTGTCCCGGAGCCAGGGTAGACTGAGGAAAAAAAATCTCCTAGTAGAGGCTTGAATATTAATTAACTCAGCTTGAAACTTGTCTAAGATTAACAACAGCTGTCAATTTGGTATTGTCTCTATGTATCAAATGGAACTGAGTCGGTAAATATCTAGATTGTTTGTATTTATGTTGCAATACTATCATTGTTTTGAGTTCTTGAAATTCTCCCTGTACAGGTAAGAGGTGGGCAGCTCTGGGGTACAGATGTATACACGGTTGACTCTGATTTGGTTGCTGGTAACTATTGTTCCAATATTACACTTGAATATTCTGCATATTTTGTTTCCTGTTAATCCGAAAAAGATTAATCGACTAACATCAAACACTGCTGTTTAGTTCTTATGCATACAGGATATTGTCGTCCAACTGCTTCTCTTCCCCCATCTGGTACCCAGGAGTTGCGTGCTACTATCAGAGTGTTGCCTCCACAAGATTGTATGTTCCAAAAGGATATAATATTTATGCAAAAGTACTCGCTGCTTTGAATATATACCTGCCATAGTCATAACATTAAACACGAAAATGCAACTGTTTTCTGCCCTAGGTTACTATAAACACTATTAAAAACTCCCAAAAGGTAGGATGGTCATTTCTATATGGCTCAACCAAAATAAAGAGCAAAAAGGAGCTCAGCGTGGGTTTTATAGTTCGATTTATGTTGAGACCCACCATTTAACATACATGCGTTCTGTAAACTGTAGCAGCCACATCTAGTGAATCATCTGCCACTTTCAAAAGGAACACTCATTCTCTCTATCTCTCTCTCTCTCCCTCTCAAAGTATATTTATAATCATCTAGTCCCACTGTATAAATTGTACGCAATGCGTGAAATCGTTTTTGTGGAAACTCTTAAAACTAGGGTGTCATCTTGATCAATGTGTGTTTGCTCTTGCGATGCCTATATAATGTTTTATTCATGTTGTACTTCAGTCCAAAAAATATTTCATTTAAACTCTCTCTCGCTCTCTCAATTTTCTTTTGTTTTTTGAAGAAAAAAATGATATAGTTGTGCTGAAAGTATATACATAATCATCTAGACCCATTGTATAAATTTTACTGGGAAAATATTGATGTGAAAATTCTTCAACCGGGATGTCATCTTGAGCAATGTGTTGCTCTTTCGATGCCTATATAGCATTCTCTGAAAAACGTAGGCGTTCAAATTTTAAAATGTTTTAGATGGCAGCTATTACATGCCATTTCATTTGTGCACTTCATTATCATGATTTTTACTCCATTTTGATGCTATGCTACTGCTTTATCTTCAATCTGTTATGTGAGTTTTACGTTATAGTTTATGAATGGTATGCGATATTTACTTGTGTTTGACAGTGATGCTTAAACTTTGTTTATATTATGTTGATTGCATGCAGTTCCTCTATTCTTGTGTTATATGACTTTAATTTTTAAAAACGTAAGGTTACATTTCAACACTGAGGAATAATGTACGTTCACGAGCATGGGGAGCTGCAATAGGTTGCAGTTATCGTGTTGAGCGGTGTTGCATTGTGAAGGTTGGTTAGCAATGCATTTCAACTTACACTTCTTTGTCTTTTCAACATCCACACACCCTTACCCACAAAGACTCTTTCTTTGTACACGTGTTATGGTTGGAATTGTCAAAATTTCATCTTAAGACATAATTTGTTCTCCTTTTCCTTGGCTAAACTATTTTGTATCCCCTTTATATCTCCTTTTCTTGGCTCACCTATGGTTAGTCAATTTACTAATTTTTTCCTTATATAGCTTCTGTTTTTTGTTAGTTCCTTTGAAATTGGAATGCTATTGGCTCTTTGTCTTAATGACATCTATTTATTTTTGTGCGCACTACAGAAAGGAGGTGGGATTATTGATCTTGAACCTTGTCTTACACATTCATCAACTATGGAGCCTACTTTAGCTCCAGTTTCTGTGGAGCGCACAATGACTACCAGGGCTGCAGCTTCGGTATTTGCCTTGTGATGCTGATTTTACTTTTCCTTGTAAATGCACACATATATGAGGACACACTCAAACATCTTTGAACTCAATGCTTTCTCTTCCTTATAATCTATCAATTCGTGTACCCTTAACTTCTGACTGATTGCATATTTAACATGAAATTATTTTGTTTGTTAGTATATTTTGCTTGATTCACTTACTTAGTTCTGATGGTTATGTTTCACTTTCCTTTCTTATTATCATTCTCTAGAATGCATTACGCCAACAAAGGTTTGTGCGCGAAGTGACTATTCAGTTCAACCTCTGTATGGAGCCCTGGTATGTTCTTTTGTCTCTTAGCAGACACATTTCTCTCATTTATTCTTGTTTTTATTGCAGAGGCCCTTTAGTTCTTAGAATACAACCAACTGTGCATCTATACTAAGTTACTAACTTCTCCCAAAATTATGTTAATAGAGTTTGATGAGAACGATTTTAACTTCATTCAATTAGTATGATCTGTCTTTCACTGCCTAGATACTCTTTTTCAGTGCCATAGCGCAAAATTGCTTTACATTACCCATATAAAACCGTCTCATATTGCCAGATTTCTACTAATTATCATTTTATAGGGAAGTTCAAGGAAATTACTTTCCTTAGTTTGTTATGCTTTTTTGCTGGCAAGTTCATTGGAGAATTGAATTTTGCACAACGATGGAGGCAATAAGGATTTCATAGCAACTAAATGGTTATCTAAACATATCTAAAATATGGATGGCAGCAACTTTTTGCTAAGTTGATTACAGTTGAAACTGGAGATATGGGGTTGTGATTTGCATCCCATTTCAAGAACTTGCATTAAGAAATTATTTGTTTTGCTGAATTTGTATCTCGGTCCCATTGCCATGGAGGAAAAACCTAAAAAGAAAAAAAGAAAAAAAAGAAAGGCCATAGTATAAACTATACACAGATCCTGGCAACATAAGGTCATTCTAATATTTACTAAGAAATTTGGTGAAACCAAATAAATGAGAATTTTATCTGCTTTAACATTTTGTATGCTGTATGTAACTCAAGCATGACATATTTGTGTTGTTTTGATAATTGTCATTTCTTGTTTGGTATTTTCCCCTTATTCTCGTTTTTTGGTCTATACTAGGCTGAAGTACAGCATAAGTGCTGTGGCTGACAAAGGTCTGAAAAAGTCCCTCTTCACATCTGCACGTTTAAAGAAGGGAGAAGTGCTTTATGTAGAGACTCATTCCCGCAGGTAACAAGCTAGAGTGGTATTAGAGTTTAAATTCTGGAAAGATTTTCTATCTACTGGCCTGATTCCAATCCTTTATTGTTGTACCATAAGTGGGCCTTTCTGTGTTGATCCTCTAGATGTTCTGAAATCACAAAAGCATAAAAAGTTGAAACAGCAAGTTATTTGACTTAAATGCATAAAGTAGCAATGAACGCGAGGGGAGGCAATTGTGAATACTATAGTGGCATAACCTGTTATATTATGTTTGCAAGGTTCTTTATGATATGGTCATTTGATTACTGAGTCGGTTATTTTAGCATATTAGATATTCAGGTGTTAAACAAGAAAAACTGAAACCATTATCATTATTTCTTGTTCCTCTTAATAACAAAGCCATATTTTAGGTATGAGCTTTCCTATAATGGAGAAAAGGTAATCAAGGCGGCCCCAGCAGCTCAAGCACAAGGAGCAGAAACTGGAAGAATTCAAACTCACAACACCTCACATGTTACTAATGTTGAAAGAAATGCTGTGGATGGTGAAACCACTGTGGTAGATATATTCCGATGGTCCCACTGTAAGAGAAACACCCCTCAAAAAATTATGCAAAGCATTGGGATTCCCCTGCCTCTTGAACATATAGAGGTAATCTTTTCATGACTTGCTAGTTACATTATATATATATATATATATATATATATATATATATATATATATATATATATATATATATATATATATATACTTATTTTCTCTGCAATGGCATATGAATTTATCCAGGTTTTGGAGGATAATCTAGAATGGGATGACATATCGTGGTCGCAAACTGGCGCTTGGATTGCTGGGAGAGAGTACCATCTTGCTCGGGCACATTTTCTTTCCCCAAATTAGACAGATGGCACCTTGTTTCCTGTTGTTATTGTGTGTTAATTTATGAGAGAACCTAACCTAATGATGCAACAACCTAGTATTATTACAACAAACATGTACTTGGAAGAAGTAAGTGTGTTGGAGACAATAGACATTTGCTGCTATTTATGTTTGTATTGTTATGACTTTTGATGGGGGGTCGTAGCTCAAGGTATTGCAAAAGAATATAGTCATGTTGCAGGTCGAACAGCCTCTTTCACAATATACATACATACATACATGGAGCTAATCTGTGATCTGTCTCTCAAAGGTATATAGTTTGTATCATAATTTAATTCAGGTAACCATAAATTATAAATCCACGGGCATCTGAACCGTGGAAAGAATATAGCTGTACAATACATAGTCAATGGTTCGATTGGTTTTGGTTGTTATTTTCATTTTATTTGGGAAAATGTGTTTTGAGGGAGTAATTTGAGAATGAGAGTAATGTTTGTTTAACAAAAAAACTATTAAAGAAAATGTGATCATTTCAACAATTTCTAGCAAAAAAAACATGAGCTAGTATACGATTTTTTTGCTCAACTAGTAAAAAATTAATAAAACCAAATTCAGATGAAGTATTTCTTGAACATTTATGAACTAAGATCTTCATTGATATATATATATATTGAAGTGTTATAAATTATTAAAAAAATATATATGAGCATTTCAACTATTTTCAGCCAAAAAATGGGCTATAGTACACGACTTTTTGTGATCTTGTTCGACTAGAGAAAAATTGGCGAATCCTGATTTAGATCAACTATTTAAAGATTATTATGAATGACAATCTTCATTCGTATATATTTGAGACCAAAAAACTATTTTAAAAAAATATGACCATTTCAGCTCTTTTATGTAAAAACACGTGAACTATAGTATATGATTACTTGTGATTTGTCTTGACTAGTCAAAAAATAGTGAAGCAATTTAGATGAATTATTTCTTGAATAAGTATGCATTAAGATTTTGATTTCTATATATTTGATGGGAAAATGCTATTTAAAAAAATAATTACCATTTCAACCACTATCAGCAAAACAACGTGAGCTATAGTATACGATTTATTTGCTATTTTGCTTGACAAGTCAAAAATTAGTAAAGCGAAATTCTGATGAAGTATTTCTTGACCATTTGTGAACTAACATCTTCATTGCTATATATTTTTCGACTGGTCAAAAAATAGTGACTCCTAATTTAGATGAACTATTTCAAGATTATTTATAATTACCATCTTCATCTGTATATATTTGAGGGCCAACAATTATTAAAAAAAAAAAAAAGACAATTTCAGCCCTTTTTCGTAAAAAACGTGAGCTTATATTATAGTATACGATTTTTTGTTATTTTGCTAGAGTATTCAAAAATTAAAACTACTAGAAAAAGATATGATCATTTCAACCATTTTTTAAAAAGTGAGCTATAAAATTCATTTTTTTGTGATTTTCTAGACTAGTAAAAAATTAGTGAAACCAAATTTGCATGATCTATTTCTTGATAGTTAATCAACATCTTCACTGCTATATATTTGAGTTTCAAAAACTCCTAAAAAAAAGATATGTACATTCAAGCTATTTTTAGCAAAAAATGTGTGCTATAGTATCACATTTTTTTTGTGATTTTGCTCAACAAGTCGAAATTAGTGAAACCAAATTTGAATTATATGTGTCTCCATTTTCAATGGAAAACAAATTACTAGAGTTCCAGAAAGATGAATTCTCTATACAAGGAAAATTTCGACGTACTAAGACATACTCTGCTAGAGTAAAATAAGTGAACATGCATTCAGACAAATATATCCTTACACAATCTATATCGATGTAAAATATTGTAGATAACAAGGGCTGTTTACATGTTAAAAGAATAGGCTTCTTTTCTTCCTCTTCTTTTCACCAGCCTGCACTTGTAAGAATTATCATACAGAGATATTGTTAGAGCAGTTTCTTGGAAAAAAACAATGGATCAATTATTTAAATTCTAGTCTTGTTTGTGAGTAGCCAAAACATGTCAGATGTTTTCCATTTTACTTTTGAAAATGAACAGACGATTATACCTTTTTGATGAAAAACCTCAAGGTGAGAACAATTGTATCTCTGGAACTGCAAAATAAAATAAGAACATTAAACACAAAGTATGCAACAAAAAAATACAAGAGATCTAAAAAAATCAGTTAAGATTAGGAAGAGAAAGTCCAATAATATTCATATTTAGATCAAAAGACTCGTTCGTATATTTACATTTATTCCTCGTATTTTTTTTCTTCTACAGATGCACTCTGATTATTTTTATAGGTTCATCTTCCAAGTATTCTTATTTGTTTTTCATAATCATTTTTTCTATGCCCCATATTGTATTAAATTAGATTTTTATCCAAAATTTACCCCAATCTCATTATCCAGCAAAATCAGTTGGTAGAGTTTAGAGGACACATCCATATCAATTACAGACCATCGAAAAAATAGTTTCATAAGCAAGTGCATTTTCTAGTGGCCACCACCAAAAGCTTCATAAGCAAAAAGATCGATAAAATCTTACCCACTTATATCTGGCACGTTATCATCCACCCTTAGAATACGTTCAGTCCCAAGAGAATCAACTACAGAGAATTCTGTTGGGCTTCCAAATGGAATAGAGACCTAAAACAAACAAACAAACAAACAAAAGTATTTGTACCAAATAGGAAGAAATACTAGAAGACAGAATAACTAAACACGAGGCAGATAATTATTTGGTATCTCACTTAGCTTAATAAAAGGTAAAGAGAATGAACAAACAAAAAGATTTCCTGGGATGTTGAGAATCATGGATAAAATAATAAAATTGTAAAAAATAGTCAAAAAGACCGTCTTTGTTTTGCAGAAATGCACACGTTTTAAGATAATAATCCACAAAGCATGCTAATAATGCGTTTTCATATCTGCAACACATTATAGGAATAAATTTAAAGTAGATGCTCTCCCATGTTTATCATGCTCTAGTAGTCAACACAAATGATCATGCAATCTACAGATACAGAAACAACAGTAAGCGTCTATTGTGGTTAGTTACCTAAGTAGAGATGTATAACGTGCAGTTTTCTTCATAAATATTATATGAACTTAACTATTCTTGACTTCTGCAGGCACAACAATATTTCTCAAGTAATTTTTCTAAATGGAATAAAACGATACGACTTCTACTACTCCATACTTCTGCAGGTACAACAAAATTCTTTAAATTAAAGACAGTTACATAATGTCTGGCTATACTTCAATCTAATAACTCTCCATCTTATGTCCGTTTCCCTCGAAATTACCATTGTCAGTCTTTTTAAACATACGTAATTTTAATTGCAATTGACATAATCTGAAGGCTATGTCTAGTTGATTCAAATTTATTAATATTTTTCCATTTCATTCAAGATCATTAGCAAACACAGTTAGATCATTTCCTTCTTGAGTGAAGGTTTTATATTAATTTCAGTTGATTTATTCAGTGATAAATGCAATTGTTCATCGCATGAAATATTAAAATCAGAAATATAAAACTCTAACTACTCCTCCAAATAATGCGAAAATATATATTGAATGCTGGAAACACTCGAAGTATTTTGATGAGAAGAGTGGATATGAAACATGTAAAAATTAGAAGGCAAAAAAGATTAAAATAAATACATACAATTGTGGATGATGAAAACTTCTCAGCAACTATAACACCTTTAGGCCCGCTACACTTTATGCTGTAACCATCCCTTTTAATAGCCAATGTTGCTTGCTCCCATATATCAAGATATCCAATCTTCATGACCAAAGAAACATAAACATAAGACAAATCAATTAATAGAGCCATTCAAGATAAGAGTTCAATGTCTTTTTGAAAGTGAAATACAAATAAGTCATGGCATAAACTGTTAATTACAAAAGCATGTTTGACCCAATAAGAAAATCAGAAATATCTTCCTTAACTTTTTGTTCCAACTTATACTGAATTTGAGTACGAAATATGTCAAAGAAAATACCCCTACAGCTAATTATCTTTATTTTCAATTTGTTATTACGGTTTTTTTTTTTTGGTGGTGGTGTGGGGCTTAACAAGGACTTAATCACATATCGCGATATAATACTACAAAGTTATAGAACATTTTGTTTCACAATTTTTATTTATTTTAAATCCAACAAGTCAATACATCGAACTAAATAATTTCAACTCTCCCATTGTACAAGTTGTACATAAGATTTACGATAATTTGTAAATGGTGAATCAATATATACATAATACATATAGATATACGCATAGCGTATGCATATGCGCATGTATATTTAAAATGCTCTCGAAATAAAAATATAATGTTAAACAAATTATGGTTGTCTTTGTCTCATTGTCAATAAAATAAAATTAAACAAATATGTAAATGATAGTAGAAAATATATTAAATTTATTTTACTTCAACAAAAACATTAACCGCAAAATACTTCAGAAAATAGAAGTGTAGATATTCTCCATTTCTAAATCATGACTGGAAAGTGGCTAGAGGCTAAAAAAAACAAAAGCATATCCCTAAACCTAACTTAGCCCGCCAACATCTCAATTTAGTGGGAAAAGATATATTTTTATTCGCATTCAAAGTTGTGCCAAAATGTATCTTCTTCATGTTTTTCTTTTGGTATTTAGATTTACTTTTTATCTGTATTTGAACCCTTGAAACGAGGAGGAGAGGTTCACTGTAATTTTCAGACTTAGATTCTTCTTTTGGACCAACCCTCAGGGGGTTATTGAAATTAATCTTAAAAATAAAAATATTATTAGTATTCATACCGAGAGGGATAGCTTGTACGAAGCATGACCAGTGTAAACGGTTTTCTCTATGCATTTGTGCATTACAGGATCTGCAAGAGAGGCCATAAAATATTAGGTCTCCGAATTAGCAAAAGCGCCGCACAAGTCAGAAAGTGAATAAAGACCGAAGGGACCATGAATAAGGAAACAAAATCTTCTAAATTTCTTTTTCTCCTTCCATAACAAATTAATAGACCAATAAGAACAAAACTGCTGAGACATGCTTGCACAACCTCATACCAGATTTCCGATCACTACGTCATGAGCAAATGAACATTGAGGTAGAAAGGAAATGTTAATAATTTTTACAGCAGAAGAGCCACATAAAGGGATTTATCAGACAGACTCTAATATGTCTAGGCCCATTTGACACTAAATACACTTAACGGTTAAGAAAACCTGTTGATCATGAACATAATGATAATAATAAAATAATAATAATTATAATAATAATCTTTATTTGCATCAAATGCTTCATGACTCAATCAGATTTAATTTCACATTATAACTTGATAAGTAATATTAGCTTTAAATTCTCTACATCATATGAAGAAATGGTCAAAGTAAATGCATACGCCTGAATCATGCACAATATTAAAAAAATATTAAGCAAATATAAATAATTTCAGCAGACTCAAAGAACTAAGACCAGATTGCAAAGGTTCAGGCAATATTACAAAGTGAATCTGCCTTTTCTTTAACAAATTTCCACTCGGGAGCATGTGGATGAGTCTTTAGGAGGAATTTGTATTCCTGATTTTGCTTCATATCTATTTTGATAGTGTTGAATGTTCATCTCATCTTAAAATTATGATATTAGAGAGGGAAGTCATTGGTATTTATAAACTCTAGCACACCGCCTCACATGCAGGTGGACAATTTCTTTTCTTTTTCAAGTGATTTGCATGTGAAACTTTTCTCTAAATGGGTGGTGGTGAGAATAAAATAAGGGCCTTTTTTTTTTGGCATATTATGATAGTATGTTGAATGACTACCTCAACTAAAAGCTTAAGCTATTAGAGAAGAGAATCAATTAACAGTTGTTAACTACCAACGATTTATAAAGATAAATGAAGATTGTGACTCCTGGTATATCTAAGATCTCAATCCTAAAGGTCCAAACATAGTTAGAACTTGTAAATATCCATTACCACAAATAATTTTCCTATGCTCGTTGGCGAAGACCTTCACAAGTTCACCCTGATATACAAAATAAACAGAGTCGTCAGAAATGGTCAAACCAATTAAAATTTAATGGTAAGTGTACTGATTTTTACAAAATTGAAACATTCTTTGCCAGTGGAGAAATCAGTTTAGCATTTTCAGCAATTATTTTTCCTAAAGCAGATAACTCATATGGAAAGCATGTGCAGATGCAGGAACCACAAAATTCCGCCTCCACCAAGAATTACGAGGTAGAAACATCTGATCCCTACCATATTTCTTTCTATCCACTAACTTGGACAAATAAATGTATTTTGAACAGTCTTAGATGATAACGGTGATCTACCATCTATGACAAAAGTTCAACGAAAACAAAAGGTACTGGATTTCCTCTCATTTTTCCTCTCTGATATAATTCGAATCCTGAAAGCTTGGAATATAAAGTATGGACAGATGTTTGCAAAAAACGCAATGACATCCCACGTATCTACCACATCAGATACTAACTACTATGAGTTGTTTTAGGTAAACTTCTTACTACCACTGGCCATGCAATTCAACTAAACATCATTTGCAAAATATCCCTATATCCCACACCCCAACACACCCAGAATACCTTTCGCTTCCTATCGTCCAGGGGCTGTACTTCAATGGCCAAATATGTATCTACATCATCTGCAGTAATAAGATAATTTGGTTGCTTCGCTCCTGCAATGAATAATGAGCAATTTCAAGATTGATAACCGTAGAAAGAAAAGGCCTTGCAGAATTTGAAACCACGTTTATCAATGAAATGAATACCATCAACATAATTGAAAGATCCATCTTCCAAATGCCGTACCCACTGCAAATGCAGGAAAAACTATAAGCTAAAACCCGAAAGAAATTAGGCAGAATAAACCAATTTAAGTTAGGAAGTAATCAGGTTCAATTGCCCAAAAAAAACCGAGGTAATCTGAAATGTCAGTTGAAGCACCTCAAAATTACAACTGGTCGTGCCATTTATAGAGTATCCGCATGCTTGGAGTTGCTGTCCAGGAAATGCTTCACCTGAAATTTGAAGACCCTCTATTGCTGGTAGTGGATCATCATCTGCAGCTGTTCATTGTTTGCAAACTTAGAATTTCTGGCCACCAAGTTTAAAGCAGTAAATAAACTCAATTAAAAACTTCAGACCCTCAGAGAAAGAGGATGAGGGTTCTTCGAGAACTGGTGGCAGATAAGGAGAATACGAGGAGTTGGGATCATCCAGAGACGTCATGGCTGAAGCTTTAGAATTCCAATTAACTGAAGGCTCTCTATCACTCTGGTGCCCTCTGTTGTCAGGTTCGTCCATCTCACTACTTCTAACAAGGTCACCAAATGTGACCTTTTTACTAATTGTGCTTTCATTACTTCGAACATGATGTGCATCTGCCTGGTTGAATGCATGCTCTGAAGGTGCTTCATGCATTGCCGTATTCCTGAAAATCAAAATAAATTTTAAAAAAATAAGCAAACCAAAAAAAACAAATATCCAGATATTCCTTAAAATTACTGCAACGCTATTTGATTAAAAAACTTATGCCAAGCATTTAACAAAATTAAAATTGAAATTATGAATATGTTACGTGAATCTCTTAATAAATTAGAAAGACGTAAAACAGAAACAAAAGTATATGATTTCCTAATCAAACGTTTCATAGTCTCAACAAAAGTATATGAATTTCCTAATCAAACATTTCATTAATTTGGTAATCTCAAATGCGGAAATGAATAAACTGGGTACACGAGAAAGAGAACAAAGGTTTCTGCAATTTTGTAGGGGCTTGGCTGTTCCCCTGAATGCTTGTTTTAATTCCGGCATATCACACTGTTATGATCTATTATATAGCCCAATTATATCAAATGCAGAAAATCTCTTCTGACTTGTAACATTTTGTTCCTCTAAAGAGAAATTAATTCAGCTGTCACTTTCTGTTCTTTCTAATTTCATGGGAAATTAATCAATTTCGAAAATGGTTGTGCTTCAACCACTTGAAGATAAGAAAGCACCAAATTTCAATTTTCGGCAAGACTGCTCGGTAAAATATGATGCAGATAATTACTCAAAAAGCACATCTTAAAGAAGAGGAGATCCAGTTGTCTTTCTCCCTTGGGATAACATCACTCCAAATTTGACTGTCAACAAAAAACTCTATGAAACCAGAACCCACCGCCAAAAGCAGAGGATAGGAATTGCACATGCAGTTCAGAGTCAGAGTCTCCATCTGACCAGCTCACCTGCTTGCAAGAGGTGGAAGCATCCCCAACTCATCGTGCTCCAAATTCTTGAAATTGTCACGCCCACTCTGGGGAATACCCAGAATATCTCCAACCATTGCTGTCTGAAGATTAGAAGACGGCATCTTCCCATCAGAATATGATGGTTGTGAAACCAGTTCCAGTCCCTCTTTTATCTGGAAGGGCAATTCAAGAGTTTGAGGCATCAAGTATTATATGTTGATCCAACACTCTAGATAAGTCATATTAGCATGCAGTTCATAAATGCCTGAATTGTGTCTATTAAAGTGAAAATCTGCCAACTACTGTCACCATTGTTATTACTAACCAAGTGAAAACTAAAAATATTTCAAATTTACCAGATTAGATGCAGTTCTTTACTATAAAGTGAAAATCTGCCAACTTCTATCACCATTGTTATTACTAACCAAACGAAAACTACAAATATTTCAAATTTACCAGATGAGATGCAGTTCTTTACAATATAAATGAAAGAAATCTCATAAACAGTCCAACGGCTGGATAAAATCATTAAATCTAAACAGATAGTAAATATAACAGCGGCATATATATACAACTCTACCGAAAAGAACAAATAAACCTTAACTTTACTAAACCAAATCCTGATGTGCAACAAATCTAACCATATGGTATCATGAAACCTTAGAGAATCAAATTGAACATGTATTGAAGGAAATTATACTGTCGAAACAAGAAAAGCAAGATCCTACCATGTCCAACCTTTTTTGCCTAGTTGACCAGGTCCTGAATCCAAATGCACAAGTCAAGTTTCTAGACTGTCCCTACCTGCTATAGTGGAATATGAAGCACTTTTGTAGAATGTACATGCCCCACACAACTCAATACTTAGAAACACTTATCTATATGTGATACACGATGAACGTCATATCTCAAGAACATCGCTGAAAAAAATTAAAAATATCCCTCCCCGCCCATCTCTTGTCACACACCAACTCCCTTGAGTGCCACCACTCCCCCTAACTACCTACTGCTTCCATGATGCCCAGCTTCAACCACCCTCCTCTCTAATTGGCCCTTGCTACTTTTCATCCTAAGAAGTTCAACACCACCCATCCCTGAATCATCCCCAAACTTCACAGACACAGCCTGGTCTCAACCCGCCATTATGTATTGAGTGTAGGTTTTATACTCAATATGTCTACCTTACGTGGATTTTTTGTTTAGATTTAATTATATTTGTGTTTTAATTGATAGATTTTGTGTTTTATAGGTGCAAATCAAGAATTAGGTGTCCATGAAGAAAAAAATATCAAAAGAAAGGAAAAAGTTGCAAATAAGAAAATAAAATCAAATTGGAAGAAGGAATCCCGCAACAGCTTTGCCAGTGTCCACGATTTCAAGCATATACTCTCTCATCCGTACTCCAAATCACCTTACTCTAGCGACATTGGAAAGCTATTTCAAAAGGCTACAACTCCTATTTCATACAATTTTCCACACTTCGGACTACAATATGGTCAAAATCGAATATCAGATCATGATGGAGAAAAGTTGCGGAAATTGAATCTTATTAACTACTTCCTTATCAATAAAAGTTTATAAAAGCACCAAATCTCTACGACGAAATTTTACACATCAAGACGAGAAGACAGCGTACGAGCAAGGTGGCGGCATGACGAACTTCCGCCTTAAATATGTTACACTCATTACTTAAGCAGGCTCATATGTCAACCATACCTCAATAGGATAGAGTGGTGACTGAGTGAAGTTTGAGGTATTCACATCAGAACGCCAGGGTGCTAGTTGATACTTTGACTCCTTGAGCTTTCCCTACAAAAGAATCGGCCAAAATTATACAAGAAACCGATATAACCAGTTTATGCAACATCAATTTTGGACACCTGGATATACATCCCTTTCTAATTACATCTTGAACAGTTTCTGAGCCTTTACATACCTCAGTTACAAGAAGTTGTTCCTGCAAATGTCTAAACAAAACCTGCAATAAAAAAAAATCGACTTAACCGCAGCAACAACCTCAAAGTAATCCCCAACCAAATCATTTTTGCCAGTTCACAAATATTTTAAGATGATACAAGGACAGAGTACTATGAAATCCGGCTTAATTATACCCTTAACAGTAGTTAAGAATCCTGCTGTCTTTAACAAAACCAATAACCACTCTTTGCTGGTAACTCCGCGTGAAATTTATGGTTAAATAGAAGAGCAGAATTTTACATTCTAAACTAATTGGATTCATATCAGTTGGCATTTTCACAATGAAATTTGGTTGAGTTAGCACTTGGCAGTTTCATACGAAAATTTGGTTCATATCAATTGATGCGCTGTTCGACTAATATACTGCGGATCTTGATGTGTAGTGGTTCACGCTGGTTTTTTTTTTTTTTTTTGGTCAGTATTAGCTGGCAATGAGTAAGATCCATATTGAGCAAGTTTTTTGAAGCGTCAGTCCAACTTCCTCCTATTAGGATATGTTCACTGTACAAGCTTAAATGCTCAAAAAATGAAGACCATCTTCATTCTATTCAAGAAAACAAGAATATAAAATTACTTAAAGACCTACAGTTCATTCACCCAACCAACCGCAAAGAAGACAACAAAGCTTTCAAACTCGATGTGCATGTTCCGTTAAAATTTTCAGAAATGTATAAGAATAGCCAAAATTGTGACTTCATATTATCATACATAGACCCCAACAAACTCCAATCTGGATAACTCACCAGCAATTTCGCCATATAGACTGCAGTAAGTGACACAGTTCATCTCAAGCATGTAATATGTCTAGACAAGTTCATCCACGATAAGTATAAGAAAAACTGAAAGGGGATCATATTAACCTTGACATTACTGACAATGGACTGGGCATCGGTAACAGTTGGCTGAAGAGAATACTCTGCAAGAAGAGGCATTAAAGAAGTTACGAATGTTGATCTTTCTTGTTGTGCAGCCTGAAAGAGAAAAACCAAGCCTGATTACATATTTAGCTTACATCACAGACAATTCAAGAAGACGAAAATTGGCCTATATATACAAGATATGGAGTGAGTTTTTGGGAAGGTACATCTACCTGTAATGCATATGTAAGACGAACATTCTCCTCCATTATATCTTGTCTGTAGGAAACTGCTTTAGATGCAGCAAGAATGAGATCCTGCTGTTGCTGATCAAAGGCCTTTGGAAACAATAATGTGCAGAATCTCCATCAGTATCCAGAATAAACAAAAGAAGGTTTTATAAATTAGTAAAATAAAAACCTGCCTACCAGGCGCATATATGATATACGCTTCTCCAGGGCATATTTCTCATTGCGGATATGTGCTTCCTATCAAAAGAAAACAATAATTACAAATACAACGGGAATATAGCCATAAATATGTATAGAGTTCTCAGTACATATTTCTTTCTTTATCCTACCTTTATTGAGAATTCTGTAAGATGTCTTCTCAATTGCAAAATTTCCTCTTCATGTTCCCGAATTTTAACGACAACATCCTACACAGGTGTATATTCACAAAATAAAGGTAGTAAAATATATGTGATCATTGTCTTATCGCTCTTTTTTATAAGGAAACAAAGACATATCATTATTGTCAATATTAACTTGTAAAAAATGATACTACCCCAAGATAATCTGAAATAACAATTCATTTGCCGTAAGACGATACCTGCTTTGAACTACTACTACTATTAACATCAGCCGTTGAAATCAAATCCCTTTCAGCATATCTGAATTCTAAATCCGAATTGCCGTCTTGATACCTATGAAAACAGGGAAAATGAAAAGGATTACAACCACTCATACAGACCACATTATTTTTGTCGGGTTCATTGTATCTGAAATACCTGGTAGGAGTAAATAGTGTAATAGACGGTGACACAAGCTGAGAGACGCCAGAATCATCTGAAGCTATCTGACCCCCATGAATCACGTTTGGTGATCCATTTACTTCACTTCTATTAAACTGGTTTTGAAATTGAGTTTGCATTACATGATTTTTATTACTACGGATCATATCTGTTTGAAGAGCAATGGAATTTGGCAAAACATGTCCAGAATTGACATCTGCATTTTCGCCGCCATCTATTTGACTTCCTAAATGTAGAACTAATTGATCGGATCTACATGGTTCACTAACATGGTTACCCCATCGGTCAGCCGACTGTGGATCGTGATACTTCACATCATCTGATTTCTGCATCAATAAACAATAAATTAAATTTAACTTCTATTATTCCTTAATGAGCTATTCTGACATTCATGTAAAAAGGTATATTTATATATTACAGCTCTTCTGATTATGATCTTTCATCAAGGATTTTTTCCATCAATAATGTGATTACCCATGAGAGAAGCATCATGAATTAATCTCTCTTTTGCAGAACCACTTTGATAGAGGCGATGAGTTAAAATCTAATCCAAAGTCGTTACTACATTGATGGAATAAATCCTTAGATGTTCATATTTTATAACATGTAGGTTAAATATAACTAAATTATCCTTCTAGCTTAGAGAAGTGTATATTAAATCATGATTCCTCATGATTCAACTGAACTGTCATTAGCACAGAACATATCAAAGACATTGAAAGATCATGTTGAATAACTTGTAATGTAAAATATTCGTCATCTCAAACCGGCCTGGTTATGCCGTTGTATTCTCGGGGATTGCAAACTAGTCTCTTAAATCATTAAAGTCACTCTAGACAGTGAATCTGGTTATCAAAATACAACTTGAATGAAAACTTCCATGTATTAGTTACTAAAAAAACTGAGTTCCTTCCAGAGCATTACCAGAAGTAAAAGAAGCTTTTTGAAGGGATAAATAGACTCCTTCAATTGAATATGGAGACAGTAATCTCCAAGTTTATAGGCAACCCACCAATAATGTGGATGTTCATATACTACTAACTCTATTATATATGACATGAGACAAATAAATAACTGTAACGTTTCCCACCAAAACCATATGCAGAAGCATACACAGTCCTACATACTCGAGGAGAGGAAATACATAGCAGTTCACAAAAATTGAATCTCTAATTGTGAAGTGGAGAAATAGAATAATTTTCAAGAGGTGATGGATTGCTAAAAGCTTAAACAATAAAAAGTATTATTTTTTTGAAAATAAGTCGACTGTACTTACTAGACAAGAGGCAATAAAACAACAAATAAATAGTTATAACCTTATAAACTTGTAGGTCAGTGCATCCAGTGATAAGAGTTCTTACAATTTTTTCAAGTTCCTCATTTTTTTTCTGTAGTTCAGATCTCAAGCGATTATTCTCTTCCACCTGTTAAGAGCAAATCAGGAAATAGTGATTGTCTTTTTTCCTGACTGTCACAATCAATAGGCTCATGAATGCAAGTAACAAGTTCAGTGTTAGAGTAACAAATTTAAGAGGCTCGTGAGAGCAAAACACAAGTTTGTCAGCTAGAATAGCATCCTACTATAGTAACGTGTATTTTGGACGTAAAATTATTTCATTTGAAAAGGATAACATGGTAGATTACCATCAAGCATGAAGATCATTTTGATTAACTTAAAGTGATCGTAATATTGTGACCACCATATGAGTAGAACTGTGCATTCGAGACAATGAAAAAGACGGAAAAAAAAATGATGCAACTGGGGTCATTCATGCATTAATTATGGCTTGTATGTCATTTCATTTAACAAAATCTACATGTTCAGCTAGATATAAAGATGCTTCCAACAATATGAAAATATCAATCTAATAAGGAAGTATTGTGAGAGTATAGGTGGAACAATTAAAAAATATTTCAATCGCCAAATAATATAAATACAGATAATTGGCCTCATAGATGGTTAAAAAATGAAGAAAAAAACGAGTCAGAAGTGCATAATGGACCACCCTTCGGAATACCAAGGAATCAATCTCCTGAGTGTCTCAAGATGTTTTGGGGGGCTTCTTCAATACGACTTCTCTTTCCAGAAACAGATTGACATGAAAATCCAGGACTGGATTTGGATATCCACCAAATCAGTGCCATGATATCAAAATTACGGATATTTTCAAGAAAAAGATGTTAAGATAGGCTTGGCATCAATGTAGCAAACTATTATTTGTGATAGACAAATTACTCTTACTGGGATTTGGAGTTTCAGCTAATACAGGTCCCGGTGCTCATAAAACAAAGGTGCATCAGTTATCAACCAACCAAAAGTGATAATTGTCACAATTTTCACAGCTTAGCCTCTGACTGTCGTGACTGGCTGGACTGGAATGCCGATAGACAATTGAGAATCATTTCTTTCTTCTGGAACAAAGTTATTTTGCTAATATTTTCAAGCAAGTCAATGAATTGAATTACTGAAGGAACGTCTGCATCTATTGCTTATTATTGAAAACTTGATCAATTGAAGACTTTGGGGTTTCAGCTCCAGGTACCAAACATCAATATCACTGATTCATTAAATGTTCACCCGATAAAACTTTGAAAGCATAGGATCTTCACAATTTTCTTTGATTATCCGTTTTGCGCCTTTTTATTAATAATTTCACTATTGCAATCTAACTGTAGGTTATATGAACAAAGACCTCGAAAGGACTATCCGATTTTGAAAGAAAATAAAAGATGGAAAACGATGTTACACATGTCAGAATTGGAGTGCTGCTCAGTTATGAAGGAAGACCAGCTGCTTATTCAGGTGAACGTCTCTCACATTAGTTTCCTTTTTCAACTGTAAAGAGAGCTAGTGATGCCTCGTTTATAACGAGATCATAATCTAATTTCTATTTTCATCAGCAATATTTATAGTATCTGATTTCACAATAAAATTAAAAATTACGATCCAGGCATCCAAATTCCACTTCACCAAATCCACTGAATAACGGTAATTCCATTGTGATACATTTAGAAAACCTTCTCCTATATCTAGTACCTACCATGTGGAGCTTAAGATATAAAGTTTAATACCCTTCTCTGTCTATACCAAAGTAACGTTCATTATGGAACACTGATTAAAGAAAACATGTGAAGGTTTGCAAGGTGGACTCACCCGACATGGTATCTTTTCAGAAGATCAGATTCCGTATCACAGGGTATCACAGGTTGTTCTCACAAGAGAAGAGATACTTAGATAAATTCTTAACAATAGCAATTTTATGTGGGGAAGATATTGGAACCAGCTAAATCTCTTATTTCACCACCGAATTTGAAGTGGGATTTCACTGTGTTGACATTGTGCACACGATATATTATGTATCTAAAGACGTCTGATTTAGTTAACACAAGGCAGAAGATTAAAATCTTAGATGGGACCCACCCCCCCTCCCCCAATCAGCCAACACCATCACGAAAGTAAATGCAAACTTATTAAAACAGAATAATTTGATATGAAAAACGTTCCCAACCAGATTCCCCACCATATAAAAAAGTAAACGAAGTATGATACTGCACAGTTGCATAAAGGACTCAAGGAATAATGCAAACATTAGGTTGTTCATAGTTCCATCAAAACACTGGTAGGTATAGTAGCATAACACAGATACATTTTATTAGAAGAAATAAAGAAAGGAAGATACCTGCTGCTTGATAGTGAGTTCTGCAGCCTCGACTGCTTTCATAACCTGAAACAATCCATCACTGCCGTTGACATTGTAGGGATCACTGACCGATAATCCCGCAAACTTGCTTTCCAAATTGGCATCCCCATTTTCCATTTCTCTCTCAATTTCCTAGTGAGAAGAAAATTAAACGAAAATATAAATGCACCTGGGGTTCCTCTTGATTAAAATGGCATCATGTTATTCTTATTGTATTCACACATCATCCATCCCTCCGCAAGAAACTATGAAAACACACCAACCCCAGCTTTCTTCTTATGCTTCACAAGTGCAAATCAGTTGGTTTAATTGCGTTTCTTCGACCTCTCCATATCTGCTGCGTATTCGATCCCCGATTGCAATTAGCAGCAGCAAAGAGGAGAGAGGGCTAAATTTTAATTCAGGTAAAAACCCTATCTCTATCTATGCGTATGCGTATAAAAAGGGGATGGTGGTGCTGTGCAGGGAGAAAGAAGAAGAGAGAGTGATTCCACAATCCACAGTCGGAAATGAAAATGGTTTGTTTAATCCTCCGATTAATTTGGTTTCTATATATATATTAGCACCGCACTCTACACTTATAGTAGTGAATTGTGATTGATCTTACTCATAATCCGTAATTCATTCGGCTTTATTCTATTGTATTTATTATAATATTTATAAAACACGAAATTGAATTAGTATTGTATTTATTAATATTTATCCAAAAAATTCTTGTGTTTCAATCCATAAATATCAAATATATTATTATTTAAATAAAATTGAATTAAAAACAAATTAATAGATATATGTATTCCCTATTATGTAGGAATTTGTTGAGATTTTAATTTTTATCTTGTTGAAATTGTGGTTTCTAATACTTTGGACTAATTGCTCTTATTATTTACTCATCATTTTTCTTCAATTTTTATTTTTTTTCTCATACTCATTGTATGGATGACAAGTGACAACTGACGCATGTTTTCTCAATCCCATCTTACTCTTGTTGCAATATTTTTTGACTAATTATTAATTAGTATAACACAACCATTTATAACTCTAATACAAGTACACAAGAATTTTGGTAACATTTACGAAATTGTTAATGTGTATATATCATTAATTAATATTTGATGTTGGAAACTTGGAATTGGGTTCGAGCGAAGACCTCGGACTTGATTTCAGATGATGATGATGATATGCACGTCAATCGTCCATTCTATTACCAATATTTTATGAGATGTGATTTAACAAAACAATTCAAAACAGTGAGTGCAACTTCAAATGTCATTCGGAAAAGAAAAAAAAATGTTATTGAGGATGTGGAAGATTGACATTGTCCCCAATCAGAGTTTCTTCAGGTCCATGGCTGCAAACACAACATCAATTATTATCTAATCACCAAAAAAAAAAATTCAAAATTCAATTTTTATGTATCTGCAAAAGACAAAAAGTAACCTTAGGTAACTTAAGGCAGACATCCTGTACAGGCAGGTAAATACCAATACGTGCAGCCCAATCGTATAGAAAAACGCAAAGGTTCTCCCGTACCTGAAAACAATTTCAATCCTATAACATCCAAATTTCAATAATTTCACCAAGATATAGCCAACGGGAGGGAAACCATACTTGTTGCCAAGAAGAAACCGCCCACTGCTAAGGGTTATTTTATCCCGAAACCCCAGATCCTTGTACCTTTGATCTCTTTCCTGTTGTGCATAACCATTCAAAAACATATTTAAGAAAGGAAGGTCATCGTAGATAAAATGAAATGTGGCATCTTACCAGGCCACCAATGCATTATTAATCTAATAATTTATCATTCTTAAATTTTAAAGAGCAGTCAAAATTAATCAATTAAACGAAAAATATATTTGGACCAAGATTATCCACCCGTTAAAGGAGAGAAGAAGAAATTCTCCAATAAACAATCAGAATACCTTCTTCGAGAATGCAGCAAATGGGTTAATATCATCCTCATATATTTTCTTGTACTTCGATTCAACGTCCGAACTAAAACCACTCTCCAGATCTTCAGCATACTGAAATAAGGGTGACAGCTAAGTTAAGATGAGTATAAAGTGGATAAAACAAATATAATTTACTAGGTACCTTCTTTGATCCTCTGGATATCACTTTTTCAGAATTATAATCCTGAACATAGCGAATTTTTCCGTACAGTTTGACATTATCTGTTTTTGTTTTCTCAAGCTCAGTCGTCAGAGTTCCAATCTTCTCGTTCAATGTTCTTATTTCCTGGGGTTAATGTTAACTCAGTCGTTTAAATAACTAATAACTGACTAAAAACCGAGAAACATTAGATGTCTAAAGTTCCAGGCACAGAGCAAGAAAATATGTAGGTGGGCTGGGGGATTAAGGACAGACCTCTTCAGTCTCACGCAGACGTGCCCGGAATCGATCACGTTGATTGCAGATCACCTTAAGCATAGAGCTTTGATCTAGATCAGAGGGAGCACGCCTTTGTTCTGCATTCTGTCCGATGAAGGATTTAGCCACAACATTTGCAAAACAAGGTCCACGTGCATTTAGTACATAAACCATTTGATATGATGCACAACTCTTAATTGTTAAAACCATTTGAATAAATTAAGGGAATTCGATAAACTATCAACTATCCTTTCAGAACCAATATCATTTTACACAGTTGTTAATCCTAACAATGAAATAATATAAAATGTTGAATAAAAGCTTCAAAATAATTGAACTCGTATAAGGAATTCAGTTCTGCAAGATTGAACCTTCCAACCTTCTTCAATATCTAACCATAAGAAAATTCAATAAGTAATATTGACTTTTATTCATTACATTTCCTTTAACTAACCAAAAGTTGTCTATATTGCTTTGGGGAAAACACATGCCCAACATTTAAAAAATTAAATAGAAAATCCTCAAAATTAAACAAATGCACATTAGGAGATGTGGAATGATTGAATCCTCAAAATTTCAGAAATGCCTTGTCAAGAGTCACCATGTGGACTGATTACACTTATTAAGCACATATCCCGGATAACACTATCAGATATCATTGTGGAAAAACAGGTGCTATATTTGGAAGCATTTCTGGGGGTCATTTCCATTTCGGGTTGGGTGTTGAGGCATTTTGACAAATAAAAACAAAAGTTAAGGGAAAATTTTGAATTGTAGATTAAGGCAAAGTGGCAAAAATGATTTTTGGTAACATACAACCAGACAAACCAGTTTGGGCAGATAATGATAATGATCTTCTCAAAACAAAAAATGGAAAGAAAGAAAGAAAGAAAGAAAAGGATGATGATAATGAATATCAACATTGCAATGTCAATAACTTGAGATACATACACGCAAAGAAGCAGGACCGACATACAACTTACCTCGACTTGATTTGTGCCTCCAGACTCTGACAGGTCCCAGTCATCGAAAAAGTTGCCTTTTTTATCATTGGAATTATAACCCTGCATTGCATCTATTAATTAAAACTACATAGCACATAGGACAAATCAATTACATCACTGCAAAAACTTTAGACTACTAACAGTTTGGCAGATATAGCAGCAGGCCAGCAAGCAAAATGAAGTCATATTTTAATAGCAAAATCTAAAATGGAAATAACCTTTAGTATATCATCTTCGAGTTTCTGGATAAGCCTCTGCTGTTCATTGACTTGTGTCGTTAGTTCTCTGATCTTAACTTCAGCTGCTTCCAGCAAAGATGACTTTTCAGCAATTTTGACCTGCAAGGAGTAGAAAGACAACGGTGTGCCCAACTCAACTATAACAAGTTTTTTTTTAAATTTATGCAGTTCCCCTAATCCCTATGTACATGGTTAAAATTATACACAATTCAATCTGCAATTTCATCCTGTATCTTCGATAACGTAATAGCCTTCCCATAACTCAGATAAGTAAATGCCTTTCAAGGAATCCCTTTCACCTGAGGCTCGTAAATGCTTGTTTATAGATAGGATTGGTCTTCCAAAATATCTTTCATCATGAAGAAAAAATATAAGAGTTGAAGCCAGAAGTAGAAAAGGACGAGAAGGTTTATAAATATAATTGTATAGCTAGGAATTATTTCCCTGTTGCCAGAGATAGATATTTAGATTCTTATCAAAAAAAAAAAAAAAAAAGAGATAGACATTTAGATAGGAAATTTTCTTCTTCCGTGATTTTTATTCTCATTTTAGGGGTACTCTTTTCCTTGTGTAGGCCCACAAGGTTTTGGCGAGGCCCCCTTGTAATTCGTTTTTAATGGAATAAAAATCCTTTGGCCACATTTTTTTCAATATAATTCAGATAAGCAAGAGCCACTAATAACAAGAAATATCTCCTCACAGATAATCAGCTGGTGCAGAGCATCATACCTTATATTGTGTCAGTTCATGCTCCATTTTTCGGTTCTTGTCAAGAAGTAATGACTCCAGCTTGCTCATCTCCTCCCCACTTGTAGCTGCTTCCCAATCCTCAGCTTCAATTGAATTATAGCCGACAGCCTATGAAAATTACCATTTTTCATCAAACGTGATAGAGCACTCTTGGCAAAATTTTCAACACAATTTTCAAGGATATAATTCAGGGGTAAAGGTTTATTGGACCTCAATCTATGATTCAATTGTGTTTCTAAGAGGGCGTGTTTTTTCGAATAAGTATATGCTAGGTAATTCTAGTTGTCTTTTTATACATAGCCTTTGCAAAAAAATCATTTAGTGCGTTTGAAGGAAAGAATTTCCAAAGAAAAAATACTTGGAAGGATGTAAATAGGCCTATAATGAAAATAGACGAGGTAGAGAAGTCTAAAAACTGAGAATCCAGGTGCTATCATTGTCGAAGATCTAGAAAGACCCTAGAATTTAGAAAAGTTTGTTTTTAATAAATCTAAATAATGGACTAGGGGTGTTAGCTTGTTTGTAATTTTGTGGTTCAGTTATTTTATTTTATTGAGCAAGGTTGCGAATATAAGCCCTAGCCTTCGAATGCCTCCTCTGCAAATAATCAACTTTAGAAAAGAGCAAATTGAGAAAATATGCAGACTCTTGGACATAACTATGTCCCTAAGTTTTTCTCGTATATGTGTCAGTTTCAGGTTATACCATCAGGGAGGACGATTTGCATATACTCCTCAATCAAAGAAAGCTTATGTGAAATTACTTCATGAAGCTAGTGAAGTTCACATCACCTGCAAAATTTTTACTTTCTTACGCAAATCATCAACTAGTTTTTCTGTTGGCCTCGTATGAAGCTCTTTCTTCAACCCCTCAAGCTCAAATTCCTGTACTTTTTACAAATGAAAGAAGTAATAAGTAACCGAATACTAACAAACTTTTAATGAAGCTAGATATGAAAGAATCTGGATCTAAGGGAATTCATTAGAACGCATTTCCATAGAAAACTTGAAAAGAACAAGAATGTTGACCATCTAACTTTGTAAGTTAATCGGGGTATACTGCAATTCGCAAACAGAATAAGAAAGCTGGGCCATTCATGAAATATATTGCCTACATGTTAATATAAGCAATTAATACCAAGGTACTGAGAAGTAAGCTTTAACTTACAAGTAACGTGGTGACCAAATAAAAGAAAAAACTTTTGAAGCTATAATCTGCATCAATGCGACCAGGCCAGAGACATTTTGGTAAAATCAATTGGACTCCTAAACAACACTGACAATTCAAGGATGCAACTTAAAAAGGTATCTAGGTTAGTCATAGCATAATGTTTTGGTCAAAACTTGATATCCTACATTGTTGAATACATCATAAGCAGGTTATAAGACTCAATTTAAATCCTAATTCAGAGAATTAAGTTCTGATTTTAGTTTGTAACCAGTTGAATGCAGACGAAACAGAGACCTTCCTGCATCATGTATCTCTATTAATGTGACATAGATCAAATTCAGTATTATGAATGAAAAAGATTTGTCAAGTAATTCTTGTAGCAGAGAAATCAGCAAATCTTATAAAAAGAGAAATTCATTTGTCTGTCAAAGGACTGTATGCATTTTCCGGGTTAAGCTATATGAACTTATGATTGTAAATCACTTGTGTGGTTCGATGATATTTAAAAAACTGTTAAACTAATTATAGGTGTTATTTGGCTAGCACCCCCTTGACTTCCCTCTACAAGAAACTTCATAAAAATGAAATCCAAGGTAATTACCTTTTCATTGAGCAAAGCCTTCAACTTCTTCAGCTCATTCAAATGATAATCCCGTTCATTTGATAATGTTGCCTCAATATTATGAAGTTCCGTATTCAATTCAGATATTATCTTGTCCTTTGCACTAAGGGAATTCTCAAGCATGGTGTTTGCATCCAAACTATCACTGCAGCAGGAGTAACAGACAGTTTAAGCAGTGCATAACATGAAAAAAGGATAGCTCCAAATCCTAGAGAGGAGGGTATTTAGCATGTCCATTAATCAATGTAAGAAGGAGATAAGTAACCAAAATGAACTGCTTCCATGTAACATGATAAACTGCATTATATTGATATGGTTTCATCAGTTCTTTTAGATGTACGCTAGTAAGTTAGAATCCTTTTCTTACCCTTAATTAGACAACAATATACAGTAATAGTATACCCTTCTACCCTATCTTGCTGGAGCTAGAAGTAGAATGAGAAGAAATATATCGCAACTTTTAGCAACTAAAAACTGGCAGCTGTTTTAATCCCTCGTGCATTATTTCCCTTGATCTACTTATCAGCTTAATTCTTTTGGGTGAAGTCTTTGTTCACCATGGTGATAGAGTCGGGCAAACAAGTGTTCCTGTGTGCCACCATTTACGAGAAAAAGTACCACTTGAAAAGCTTTGGAGTAAAATGTTATTCGCTAGCACGTGATGATCAATATATTAAGTATTAAATGACACACATCTATAGCAACTCAGGCTTTTACATGAGATACTCATTATCATAAAGTGAAGTTAAACGTACATAGCACAAAAGATAATGCATACGCCTGATGCACAATGTTGTTGACTTCAGATTGACCATCAAAAAGACACAATTATGAAAATAAAGATAATCCTCAATGCATGCATTATACCTAATTCCATACCTTTTCTTATGTCCACTCTCTTCATTTGCTGATTGTAGCTGAGACTGCAAAAGGCCCTGATCAAGAATGCAACAAGAATTGTCAATTAGTAACATTTAAATAAAAATCTTTACAACTTTCAACAGAAGCAGTTGCGCTATTCAGTTGAGGCCCCCCCCCCTTTTTTTTAAATATAAAATCCCAAAGGGGTTTTAAACCATTGGCCCCAACTTAGGCAGAAGTTCAAAAAGTGATGTGCTTCATAACCGGGAAAAAGGGTAAGGCCAAAATTCGATTTTTTAAGCGGAAACCCTAGGGTTTTGTTTTTAAAAGTTTCCAATTTCTAAAATAAAAAAAAAGGGCCTTTTTTCCCATTTAAAAATTCTGGGGTTTTAATTCCCAAAAATTAAAAAAAATTTTTCCACCCTTTTAAGGATGGGTTTGTTTTTAAAAAAACCCCCCCCCCCCCCCCCCCCTCCCCCAACCCAAATTACATTTACACATAATTTGGTTGCTACCTTGGAAAAAATTATAAACAAACACTCAATTTTTTTTCCCAAAACCAAATGGAAATCTACTCCATAAATGTAAACTAACATAGCCTATAGCCAACCAAACTTGCTTCAACAAATCTAATGACCTAGGCAAGATTAGAGTGGAATATCATAAATAAATCATAGAGGAAGTGCATTAAGTCACAGGTCTTTTTTCACAGAAAAAAGTTCTATTTTCATAATTGACGGTGTCAAAAACTTCCAAATTGCAACTATGAGCTTTTTTTCATTTTTTTTTTCTAGTAAGAAGAATATGGTTCTGGTCAGCATGACAAGGTATACAACTAAAGTCCAATTGAAGTGCCTTCAGTTGTTCATGCCTGATGAAAACTCGACAAAGCCTCGCCAGATTGGACACATGTAAAAGCTAAACCACAGAGGATAAACTCTTATTTGTCATGACAACATTATCAGGCTAATGGCCAAACAAATTAAGAATGCAGTTTCTGCATAAAAAAACATTCTGGGTCACCTTCTCTCTTTCAAGACTTAGAAGACGAGTTTGAGCATGTTCAACTTCATCCATTAAAAGATTAACTTCTGATTGCTTCCCAGCTCTTTCCTCCTCTGAGATCACAGAAACAGTAGAGTTAAACAAACTGCTTTAAGAGGACTGGCTCAATTAACTTATTAAAGAGGAAAAAAGGAAGTGTAATACATGCACTCAACCACTAACATGTATCGTGGATGTAATAATAATGAAAAGAAAAGATACAGATATCTGAAAAGTATTTTGACCTGATTGGGCACGAAGCTCAAACAACTGGCTCTGCGCAAACTCATGTAGTTTTCGTATAGTGGAAACACTATCTTGAGCTTGGCGTAATTGATCTTGTAACATTCTTTCCCTGCACCATTAAAAGTTCATGCAGTGGTATTTGCAAAGCATGAGAGAGAAGTCATGTCCCCTCAGGAAATGGTATTTTTTCCACTTGCCGGAAAAAGCAACATATTTACACTTTTAATGCTAAGAAATTACAGATGAAAGTAAAATGGCATCTGAAGTCGTAATGTAGTACCTTTCTTTTAGAACCTCCATTGTTTTTTGATTCTCTTCAGCCAAATTGCGTTGCTTAATCTCAACAATTTCTTTAACTTTTTCCTCCATCTTAATCAACGTTAAAAAACATACATCCAATTAGTTGTCATGCTACTTGCTTTTTGTAAAATTCAATGGAAGTCCACACCATGAATCAAACAGAAACCAAAACAAGTGAACATGCATTAGAGATGGAGCAAGAGATAAACTAAAATTATTTTATAACTGAGGACTTACAAGTTACAAGAAGGTAAAATGGGTTATCATGCTCGCAACTGGATTTTAATTTTTCTTAGCATACAAAAAAAGCAACGTATTCTTTTACTACTGTTTGAAGTTTGAATAACTAGTAGGTCACCCTTAATACTGCCACAGTGACTTGATATCTCGGGAGGATCTTGTAGTAATAATCTCACATAAATTGCCAGAACTGAAGAATTATCCCTGTTTCTTAATAGGTTCATTTAATTTATCCCAACCCCCTCCCCTGCGGCCTTGTTAGGTGGAAGAACTGGAACCAAAGTTCCACTCTGATCTGAAAAAATCCACTGATCTCATGTTTGCTAACTCACACTGAGGTACACTTCTTGAAAAACTAAAACGTATGTGTGTGTGTATATATATATATATATATATATATGGAGAGAGAGAGAGAGAGAGAGAGAGAGTAAAATTTCCGGACTTCGCCTTACATAGCCTATTCCCAATAAATAGCGAACAAAAGAATGTTTACTGTAATAAAATAACTTCAAATTCGAATTTAACCTCCTCCTGTTTATTCTCCCGATACCAAATAACCCCTTAACAAACCATACTCCTTTCTATCAACAAGATCAAATAGAAGAACTTACACACAGCAATTACCATCAAATGCTATCCACATAAACCACACTACCCCCAGCCCCACTACGACTTCTCAATTACCAATTCCCAGTCATATTGAAGAAAAAAAAAAGGAGCACGCGGAAGAAAGAAAAACAATATATCAACCCACCAGAAAAAAAAAGAAAAAAAAAAGCAAATGAACACACAAAAACAACTGATTTTCATCACAGTAATCTGCTTAGTGTTTGTGCCTCCTGGACCTGGCACTACAAGGATTCACATTAGTCTACCTCAAGAAACAGTTATGTCAGCACACGCAAATGAGGATTTCCTCCATCTGCATGGGGGATAAAAGCAGTGAACCAGGAGTGCGATTGTTATTTGGTTTCATTAGGCAATCATAAATGACTTACTTGATGAAATAAGTTCTAATTTGACCCTAAAAACTAGATCAATAAAAATTTGATACCTACAAACACCCACAAAATTACCAGATTCAGTAAAAATTAAAGTAAGATGACAAATCCAATTTTCAATCTCTTCACCATTCTAGAGTCATTCATCAATGATACTAATTCCCATGACAAATATGCTTAAATTTTCACGTCATTTTCTTAAGCACGTTTATATTCGTATTGAGATACTATTTTACTTTTCAAAGATATATATTGACAGTTACTTTTTATGATCAAACCAACCTAACTATCCCAGAATACCACAACAAATATCAATATAGCAGCTAAGAGTGCCAAAAATTGTTTATCATAGCATAGAGATAATCACCTGCTGTTCTAACTGGCGGGTGCGCTCTTCAAGTCTTCTTATTGTTGACTGTTGATTTTTCAGATGAGTTGATTCAGTGCGAAATTCTTCAAGCTCAACTTTCATCTTTCTGTTTTCAGAGTCTAGTTCGGATAGTTTGGCATCCTTATCCTGCACAAGGACGTTAGGTCGGAAAGAAGCAAACATAGAGGTTCAGGAGGTGCAAGAGAGCATCACATAGAAGTGGAAATTTGCACTGAACATGCATGAATTCCACTGATGTAAATTCTTAAAATATAAGATGTAGAGGATTAATACATCTGCAGTAGCAAATACCACGTCTTAGATGTCACATATCAACCAAACAAACCAAAAGTGGGCTATGTGAACCTTACCAAAATGGGGTCCAAACTCAAAACAGCTTTTTATGTAATGCTACTACGAACCAATTTCGAAGAACAAACCTAGATATTTGCTGACACGATGTCACATATCTCATATTTAGCTTAAAGTGAAAACCAGGTTGTTATGTACACAGCATAAAGTAAGTTCACTATGTTCAGGTCACATAAAAGCATTAGATCTCATGGAATTGGGAGAAAAGACTAATAATTCTAAAGAACAATTCATAGAAAGGTACTTACTGCAATGGAAGCAAGAACCGGGCAAGGATCTGGTGCTTCATAAAGTTTCTGGTAAATGTTTAGAAAAGCATTTTCTCCAAATTTTGCTCTCTTGGTAAGTTTATCAACCTCATCTTGATAACCCTTGAGTAGAGAGTTGAATAACACCAATTTATCTTCATTTGAAGCTTTCTTGAAGTCTGTCAAGAGTGAAGTTTCAAATTGAAGATGATTAGGGTTAGATAGTTATCACAGTGTCCAACAATCGAGGAAAGGTGATGAACGAAAAGAAAACATAATGAAGAATAATACAATAGTGAAAGAAATACCTCTAGTACTCTCTGCAAGCTTCCGACGGCTTTTCTGACTGTTTTCCTGATTTTCGGCAATTCTAAGCCCTTGTTCATCTAGGATGGTCCTTTCTTTCTCTAAATCAAAATCTGGTAGAGCAGGATAACATCATTAAAATTTTAATATTCCAATTCCTGCCCCAACAATATATATGCTCCAACAGGCAACGCAACACAACACAACCAGATGAAAAAAATTGAAGGAACAATAAAGTACCTTTCCAGAAAGTAGCGACAGCAGATACAGGGGTAGAGGAAGACGACGAGTTAACCTTTTCTCTCTCTGATCCTTGCGACCCCTCCATTGCTGATCCACCAAACTTTAGTTTTGTCAACTGCGTTCAATTGTTAGACTCGAGCGTTGCAATCCGGCATAACAACACCTGCACCAAATCGACGAGGAACGATGTATATATTATTACTAAATAAATCAAGGAATCAAACCCAAACGAAAAACTACATTAGGTTAAGAATCTTGTTAGGTTTTCCGATTCACAATATCAGAATTACAGGCCTAAAATGGATGGATGGATGGATCGATCGATCGATCTCACCCTACAGCTTCCGGTGAGAATTATTGATAGTGACCTGGAACTTGACAACTGTGAAATGTTTCCAATTCTTCAAACCACCAGTGATTTTTCTGACAATTCACAGATTCAGGTAAGATATAAGATATAACTTATCCTTCTTCAATGAAATTTCATCATTCTCCCGTTACATGACCAATATTTTTCTATTTACACTAACTACCTTTGCACTCTTCAGTCACACTATCATAAATTATTATTTAAGAAAACAATATATATATTCAAATTCGTAGTATTTGTTTTGATGATTGATTCATTTCATATTTCATCATACCTCTATCTCTCATTATAAGTGTGTTTTGTTGTATTTCAAATAGCGATCTTAATAATGTTTTCAATTTTAAAGTAGTGAGCTCGGTTATTTATATGCTACACCCGGTGAAGGTTAAAATTTTACTTTCTTTTCTCTTCTCCATCTCATCATACCCTTATAGATTTTACAGCACCGTCCCCAACCTCAGAGCTGATGATTATGTACAGAATCGGCCCTGAAGAACCATTCACACACATTTATGAGAGAGGAAGGGGATAGAGAGAGAAGTTGTGTGTGTCATATGTGTTTAATTCTTTTCATTTTTGCCATTATTTTATGTAATTGAATTTGGTCTCTGGAAGAATTTGGAGGACATAGGCATTTCAAGCCATGTGATTGCATTTGATCTTATTATAAGCTACAAGTTAGTTACGCGTGTTTAACATACATACATAATCAACGAAATTCGATAGATAAATAAAGTATCCTAAATGTTTTTGAACTATTAAACTCTGATTGATATATCATCTCTAATTTTTGTTCTCAGGTCATGGAGATGGCCAGGGGAGACCGATACGTTTGAAAGGAATATAGCAAATTCCAGAAAAAGATACATCCATTCCATAAATAACAAGTAAGAACCCGAAAATAAAAATACAACATTCTTTTTTTCCTAATCCATGACACTGACAAAAATATATAAGTTTAATTTAAACAGTTTTTTTGGATTAATCATAGTAATGCACATCGTTAAGGTACTAATCTCCTGACATCATCTGCAAAACAGGGAACCAAGTTGTGTAAGTATTTAACATGTACAATGTTTGGTACTTGTATTAAAAATAAAATAAAAACACACTGCCTTCATTTGAAATTAAAAAAATAAACCTTAGAGGTGGTATTAATTACCTTAAACAACTCCCCAAACATTCCTGGCATTTGATTTCTACGTTGTACTCCATAAAACTTCTCAGCCACTTCATCAAGCAACTAATCCATCGTGTCAACAAAAGTAGAAACGTGCAATTGCACAGTCAGCTATTTGCTTGCAGGGCAAAACATACTTCATTAAAGATAGGACTATAAACTACATACTTCACTAAAGATAGGTTCTCTGTCTATGCTAGACTTGTACCGTTGTCTCAACATATTGAAAAGAGGCAAAGCATCTCTCTGCAACCTGCATTACAATATGGAAAGAATGCTCAAGCATTTAGCCGTTTCGTCTCACCGATTACAGGCTTGAGAGCCTGTTTGATTTTTTAGCTTCCTATATTTCGGCATATTACCAAAATGAAATGATATCCATCAAGGAAAGAAGAAAAATAAATCAATGCTGCTTACGTCTTTAGAAGATAACTTATGAGCTCCATTAATTCCGATCGAGGGAAATCAACCTCTCGAAATTGCACTTGTTTCTTCATCTCATCCATAAGGACATTAGCATCTCTCAGATTACCTAGAGCCAGATACCTATGTAGGAGAAAATAATGTTTAATTTATTACAGTTGCCTTAACATGAATCTCTGCTAAATAAATACCTAGAAGGCTTCAAGCAACAAGGGAACAAGCAGAAACCTAAATTATTATTACTTTATTCAGCACCAAGGATATAACAAAGGTCGTATAATGATTCTTTAAATCTCTGAGATCTAGATGGAGCCAACTAAACATAATTCTGTGAGCAAGTGACAGCAAATAGTGCCTCTACAGTCTACAGTGTTGATAAGAAAAAATATCCAAAGCCAAGGATCATTGAGAAAGGACAGCTACGAATCCAGTAAGATTTAAGCATATGATAGTGTGTTGTCAGCCCTTAGACTTGAAGCATCAAATATTGTGCTTTTATTTATCTCTATTTTGCATGAAAATAACATACGGAACAATTCTGATGCAATATATCAATATATGGAGATCAATAAGTGCCAACAAAGAATCAGTCTCCTAAGTAGTTTCAGAATACTTGAATTTGAAAATCCTTAGCTAATGTCTGGATTAATATTTAGAGAAGAGTTCTCTAATTTTTACCATCTAGTCAAATTACTAGAATATTATTTTCAAAATAATCTGTAACTAAGTGAATTTTTTAACTATTCACCAATTTCCTTTTACATCTCCAAAAAAACAATTTGGGAAGTATTGTGAATCACATAAACAGGATCCAATCCAGTGAATTTTATGTTGACCTAGTTGATCAAAGACTACAGGCAAATCTGCAAACATCATAGATACCAAAAAATAATATTTGTTCAGAGTTACTAATCAAATACATGGGACAAGTACAACTCTTACTATCAACTTTTTGACTACAGTCATTCTAATACCAAAAGAACTTACATCAGAACAGCGCGTGCAACAGCAAGATCATCTTCACCGGGATAACACTACAGTTTCAAGTTTCAAGATAGATCAATATTGTATGCTAAATATAATAGTTAGATCGATCAACATTAGAAATGGTACATGATCCATATGAAAGACTTAATACATAAAATAAATTGTAATTGAAAAGATTATAACATTATAGTTTACTACTCAGCGCCCTTCAACATAAGTATTCGAAAGCCCAACTGTAGTACAACTATATATAAATTTAATCTTAATTTATATTTCGAAGACTTTCCAATTTCACAATAATTAGTGATACATAAGCTAGAATAAATAAAAAATGTTCTCCATTATAATATGGAAAAGAGTGAATGGTCAATAAGTTTCAAATTTTCAGTTCAAAAATATATATTCAAAATTGAGAGGTAGAAGGCCGAACCTTGCCCATGAAATTGACTAGAGTTGAAGCAAAATTCTTTGGATTCTTCCCTCGAACAAAATGATAAGACACTTTGGCCATATCCTATATCAATGGACATGATTTTAGAGCACAATGAATAAACTCAGCATCAATCCTAAAGGAACCACCAGGCTCCTGAATGATGATCACTTAATTGCTAATATTTATAATAGTGCCCGTTAAACCGAAGCATAGTTAGCAATATAATAAACATAAAAAAATGATGTCTCTAATGGTGAAATTCAATATACCAATTCAGGAGATTCTGAATATATGTAATCAGCTAGCATGTCGTGAATTTCAGGAGATCCGCTCTTACGTGCTCCAAATTCAATAGACCATCTATAGAGAAGAGAACAATTTTGTCAGTACATTTCAGGCTAAAAACAACAATAAGCATAAAAATTACAGAACCAGACACTAATGTCATCACTTGTAGCTATTGCAAACCAAATTGACTTCCCAAGATCCAGAATTTTATATTAGGATTCAAGCAGATTGATGGATGATAATAATTGTTTCACATGATAAATGATAAATCTGCCACTCCCTCTTCAACTCTAGTCCTCAACAGAAGATGTAAAAGAGATTTCTTTTGCATATCTTCTTCATAAGAGAGGACTTGAGAAACAAGAGCGATTTACTACTCAAATAAAATGCTGTTAACAAGAAGCTGCCTGTTTTGCTACACAACAACAAACTCATTTCTGCATCACTAATCATTCTTGAATACATCGATTAGTACTGGTATCCGACGCTGCTGCCCCGTGATCCCTATCAAAGGGCTAAAGTTCGTTTCTGAGCTAGTTACTATGTGAAAAAAGTAACTATATATTTTCACATATTTTGTAATATGCAGTATAAGGTTAGCATGATCAAAATCAAATTACTCATATCTGGCGGCACAGATAGAAAGAAGGCAATGGAAGAGTTCCATGCGACGCTGAAAACAAAGGAATGCAAAAGTCAAACAACGGTTGAAGTATTTAGGATATTTTACCTCTAGGTTGGCAATTTTTTATTCTCATTCTCATTTCACACATTGACATGCGCGCTTCGACTTATTTCCACAAATTTGCTATCCAGTAACACATTTTCAATTTCATACATAATCCAATAAAATGCTCTAGATATAAACCCCAAGCAACTAACTTTATGAACCCTTGTAAAATATTCCAAAAAAGGTCGCAGCTAGACACTCAATGATCGAACAAAGGCAAGAGTTCTTAATTGTTATCGTCCACAAATGTTGTCAATTTCTGAGGTCTCTATTTTATAAGTTAATCTATGCCGCCGAAATATAACAGCTTGCATCAGTTAGATCCTAGAGGCAATTATTTTTCAGAATTATCCTCTATTGCTCCAAAAGATAAAGTGGGAGTATCTTATAGCATAAAAAATGAAGCAGTGTATCTCACTTTATAGCAGCCTTCAAAAAGGACGAGCAGCCCTCTGCACGTGTTTTTGCAGCTCCAAGAGCTTCAGAAAGTCCCTGCATATCATCATCCTCAGCTAGGTCCAAGTGCTGTGGCACAGATATCCGAGGAAACTTCTTATATATTTTCCTGATACGATCTGAAATGGACTTTTCAGATATACACACACACATACATATATAAGATAGAACTAAATTATTAAGTTACGATAGAAAAGGCTTTGGAGGTTGCCTGGTCAAACTCAAATACTGCCAGCATTAATGTTGATCAGCTATTTCACAAAGGACTAGTTACCAATCAGAGTACTAAGTTATTAGTTCGGAAATGCCTATGAAGGATTATTTCAAGTAACAGAGTAGATTTCCAAGCAGTGATTTGATAATAGTACATTAGAGTTATACCAACTCCAGAACCTCTTATACCATATTAGAAGTGACAAATCTCCCATCGATGGGAGCTCGTACTTATTACTTGATGAGCAAATTAAGCATGAACACATACCTAATCGTCTAAATAACTTGGCAATATTTTTGCTATTACAATGTTTAAACATTGATGGTTCTTTAGTATAGAAAACAAACAGAATATAACTCCTTTAGTTTCCTTCCATAAAAATCGAAAGTAAAATAGAGAATCCCATGTGCCTCTAGTCTAGAGGAAGGATTTGATATTTTGATTTAAGCCCCTTCCTTCCCCTCCAAGCCCCCCTCACCCTCTTAATCCCACACATATCCTAGAACAAATTTTCACCTACAAGAAAATGATTATTAGTAGATAACTAATAGTGAAGCATCAGAGTGACTGCAGTCATTCATGTTGCCCAAATTCTTAGCGTAACCCAGAACAACTAAGCAAAGATGTAATAGTACGGGGACATAATTAATATATATTAATTTCACTAAAATAATGTATGACTAAATGTGGTCCAACATGTAAAGTTGATATACAAAAATGTCAATAAAGTGCCAGTGCTGAAAGCGGTAAGAAGTCAATCTTAAAAGAAGGAACTGACCAAGAGTATCATCGTCGTAAGGAAATTTTCCTTTAACAAGTGTTTCAACAAACAAGACAGCGAGCTCAACTCCACAAGTAACCTAGAAAATAAAAAGTTGAAGTTTTTTAAATTGAACTTGAGGAATAACAGGTGATTAGATTATTTCATCCGTTCTAATCAAATAACAAAGTCATGAAGCTTGAAAATCCTAATAGAAGCAAACCAAAACTACCATGCTGATTAATATATGTGTAGTATTGATGAAATTTCTGTAATACCATTTATCCATTACAAATTCTTGCATGAAACTCGAGATATTATGGATGTTATAAGGTTAGAACTTTATGAGGAACTGACATGGACTCTGAATCCAATATTTTGTTGCGTCAGAAAACATCAAAATAAGAAAATTCTGACCTGCCCATTCTCTAACTGTATGCAGGCACCTGAGTGGAAAATATCCAAGGCCTCTAAATACCTATCCCCTGAAATATATCTGCAACCAATTAAAAGAAAGAATATGAACATACATCAGACAGACAAAGAAAAGAAATAGTAGGTAAAAAAACATACCTTGCACCAAAAGATTTATACATCTGCTGAGCACCATAGCAGTTTCCTTCATCTACAACTTTCTTAATCTTGTCAATATTCTGCAAATGAACAACATTATATCCAATAACAGTAACAGCACATATTTAAAAAAGGGGAATGAATAATCATGAGACTCCTACCTCCTGAGCCGGTGCAAGTGCAATCCGCTTAGCTCTTTCTCGCGACATTGTTATTCTTAATTTTTAGGGGAAAAAAAATATCTCAATTTTAGAGGGCAGGGCACGATCTACAGCATCACAATATCAATTCATTAACACATATGCACAACAAACAATTCGACCCGAAAATTATGTTGAAACGAACAAAAAAATAGAAGAAGAATAAATACGGAAAAAAAAATAATAAATCGAGAATGGAATCTGAAAAACAGGTAAAATAAATTACCTAGGGTAATAAGCAGGAAGCAAAGCAGAGATAACTGAAGAAGAAAAGATGGATTCGAAGTACTTGATTCTGGTCTCACTTTCGTTTTTCTTCTTCTCGAATGGCCTTTTTGTGAATCAACTTAAAACACAACCGGTATATATACTTTATATATAGATAGCATCAAATTAACCCATGATTCATGATATGGATCTTTATTTAAAAATGAAAAATATCACCGTGTCGATTTATATACATGTTAGCGAAAATTTGAGATGTTAACAATATTCTAAAAATTAATTATAAGTTATAAGTATCAATTATATTGAGCACGCTCGATGAATATGACTTTGGCTATATGGGCTAAGCCCATATGAAAATAAATTAAGGCCCAGATACAAAATGATCGACATCTTAACTCTTAAGCGAGGTAAGGTTCCAGTAAACCTAAAACCCCATTGATAACGGCTCCAAAAGCTGAAATCCCTAAAAAGCAAAACGACTCCAAGGTAAGATATCTCTATAACATAAAGGGGTATTTTCGTCAGATTTTGAAAAAATGTAACGATAGGGGTATTTTTGTATTTATGTGTAGTACAAAGAGTATATGATACAAAGTCCATAGTACAATGTGTTTTTATATTTAACCCTATAATAAAAGACAACCCTTTAGAAAAGGGTTTTCTTCCTCCTCTAATTTGATAGTCGGAGCTTCTACGCCGAAAAACCTTCTCAGTACATTGGCGCATCGGGATTCCGGAGAGCTTGGAGGTTGATCTGAAGGAACATGGCTGACATCACTCTTGTTATCATCTTATCAAAGGATCAAGAATAAATCAAACTTATTTTTTAACTTTTAACATAGTTTTAGAAAATTTGACAAAACACTTTGAAAGAACTTATAAACTCACAAATTTGTTATAAGTTGTTGAAGCCAAACGCCCTCTATATATTCCAACCAATCATGATCAAAAGAGAACATTGGTTTATGTAAACATAAAAATATATATAAATGATTTGGTGATCTTGTTTCAATTTCGAAATTTTGTTTAGTTTATTCGTTGGAGTATTTGATTTGATCATTCATAATATATAATTAGCAAAATTTTTTTTTTTAATATTACTTGATCTTGTTTAATATATTTGTTAATTTATAAGAATAAGACTAAAATAATATTTTTGAATAAAATTCCATGTTGAGATGGGCTAGTCTATTTTAAGTAATGAATAGAAAAATGTATATAGATAAATAATAGAGACAAGAAAAGGTGTATGATCGATCATGTACATCATGACTTTAATTTGCCTCCCTAAGAATTCGCGGGTCCGTATGGCAAAACGTTAGTTTCTCCTTCCGAATAAAGTTTTAGTTTTCATTTTCATTTTTATTTCCATTTGCATTTTCATTTGCCATTTCCGACACACACACACAATTGCAGGAAGTGAAACAAAATTATGGGATTCTTGATTGTCTTCAACTACGCCTCTACTGCAACGACTTATATTTGATTCCAACCATCATATTAAATTAATTAAACGGTTCCGATCTTTCTCTCTCTCTCTCTCTTCTTTTGTCAACGTTATTGATCTGGTGATCAGTGATCATCTCCCCAAAGGTACTGTTATGTTTTGTGTGGAGAAAATAATACATGCATGCATGCATCTTGTAATAAACCGATCCATAATCACATGAATATATATATATATATATATATATATATATATATATATATATATATATATATATATATATATATATATATGAGATCTGGGGAGATTATTATTATTATTTTTGTTCAATTTGTTGATTGTTACAAAATTAATGTTTAATTTGTTTGTGGATCCATTCCTCAGTTTTGTACTAGGTGTTTGTGGTGTGTTCTGTGGTGGTGGTGGTGGTGGAGTGAGCTAAAGCTTGAATTGATTGACAAGTAGAAAATAATAAAATGTCGGGTTTTGTGGGAGTTCTCGTCTCCGATCCTTGGCTTCAGAGCCAATTTACTCAAGTCGAGCTTCGAACTCTTCAATCCAAAGTATTTACATTATTATTATTGTCTTATATTCTATTTTTCTTTTCATCATGAAAATATTCTTAAATATATATTTAGATCCTGACAATGATATATTATTGTCTTAATTATTTAGTTTGTGTCAGCAAGAAATCAATCTGGGAAGGTTATACTGGGTGCTTTGCCACCAATTATGGTGCAGTTGAAATCCATCGTCGATGTTTTAAAACAGGACGAGGTCAAGGACATCTTGAGTGAATCGTCTACCGACTTTGACCAAGAAATTGATTTTGAATCCTTCCTTCGGGTACACGACCTTGTTCTTTTTTCATCATCTTTCGTTTCGTTTCGTTTCGTTCGATCAATAATATAATATATTTTGTAATGATTGATGTGGAGGCATATTTGAACCTACAAGCTCGAGCGAAAGCAAAAGTAGGGGGTTCGAAAAGGGCATCTGCTTTCCTAAAGAACTCGTCTTCGTTCCTAAAAAGTTCAACAACAACACTTCGCCACACAATCAGTGAATCAGAGAAGTCATCTTACGTTGCCCATATCAACAGCTTTCTCGGAGAAGATTCCTTCTTGAATAAGTATCTCCCTATTGATCCATCATCAAATTCTCTCTTTGACTTGGCCAAAGACGGAGTTCTTTTGTGGTATCCAATAATCGTAATCTCTTTTACATGAAAACATATACATACTAATAGAAGACAAAATGTATTATTTATTAAGAATTATATAATTTGTTTGTGCAGTAAACTGATAAATGTAGCTGTGCCTGGTACTATAGACGAGCGTGCAATTAATACAAAACCGGTGCTAAATCCATGGGAGAGGAACGAAAACCATACTCTGTGCCTCAATTCTGCAAAGGCAATTGGATGTACTGTGGTTAATATTGGGACACAGGATCTCATTGAAGCAAGAGTGAGTAATTAATGAGTATGCATGCATGCATGCTGTTTCTAATTTCCAGTTATTTCGAATAAATGTAGTTACATAGTAATTAATCTTGTTATGTTTTCCACCACAGCCACATCTAGTTCTTGGATTGATTTCTCAAATAATCAAGGTATTATATTATATTCCATTCCATTTCCATTTCTGTTATGATTATATTATATATATAGATATGCTGAAATGGAAAATAAATCCTCAGATACAAATGTTGGCTGACCTTAATCTGAAGAATACTCCACAACTTGTTGAATTGGTGGAGGATAGCAAGGTAATTTATTCTTTGCAATATGATTATTACTTCATTCTAATTACGGGTTCGTTCCTCCTAAACTAAAAAATTAAAAAAAAAATGCAGGATGTGGAAGAGCTTATTGGGTTAGCACCGGAGAAAGTTCTACTGAAATGGATGAATTTTCATCTGAAGAAAGCCGGATATAAGAGGGTGGTCACCAATTTTTCATCAGATTTAAAGGTAACATAACATACATACAACAATAAGTTGTTAAGTACTGAATAATTTGATCATGATGTCGAGGAGAGAGGTGCATATATGCTTTTGGTTTGGGCTTATAAATAATATGATCGACGTACGTACGTGTGCATGCAGGACGGAGAAGCATATGCACACCTGCTGAATGCACTAGCCCCAGAATTCAGCACAAGATCGACACTTGATGCAACAGATCCAACTGAAAGAGCAAAGTTGGTTATTGAGCAAGCTGAGAAGCTTGATTGCAAGAGATATGTTACTCCCATTGATATTGTTGAAGGCTCCACTAACTTGAATCTTGCTTTTGTTGCTCAAATCTTTCAGAAGAGGTAATTCCTTCCTTCCTTTCTTCTCTCTCTCGTACAGAAAGTTTAAACAAACAAATGATTAAAATATATATATATATATATATTTGTATCAACGTACAGAAATGGACTATCTGTGGACAACGAAAAGATATCGTTCGCAGAGTTAATGACAGATGATGCTGAAACTTCACGTGAAGAGAGATGCTTCCGCCTCTGGATTAACAGCTTAGGAATCGACTCTTACATCAACAATGTCTTTGAGGATATCAGGACAGGGTCTGACCGACGGCCGACCTATTTTTTTTTTTTTTTTTTTTTTTTTAATTTTCCTTTTTGTAAAAAAATAATAGTAATTGGATTTTTGCGTTGCAGATGGGTACTCTTGGAAATTCTTGATAAGATATCTCCAGGTTCAGTAAATTGGAAACTGGCTACAAAACCTCCGATAAAGATGCCTTTCAGGAAAGTCGAAAACTGCAACCAAGTTGTGAGCATTGGCAAAGAACTCAACTTCTCCCTTGTCAATGTTGCTGGTAATGATATTGTGCAGGGAAACAAGAAGCTCATTTTAGGTAAAATAATCAATCAACTGTCTCATTTTTTCTGTAAAAAAAACGGAGTAATTTTTAATGTAGTTTGTTGCATGCAGCCTTTTTATGGCAGTTAATGAGATTTACAATGCTCCAACTGCTCAAGAACTTGAGGTCTCATTCACAAGGAAAGGAGATAACTGATTCTGTCATACTAAATTGGGCAAACAACAAAGTCAAGAAATCTGGCAGAACTTCCCAAATGGAAAGCTTCAAAGTAACTAATTTCATCCTCAAACTTCCATCTTTCAACAATTTACTATTATTATTATTATTATTATAATTTTTTATCTTTTTTTTATCATTCTTAGGATAGAAGCCTTTCAAATGGGACTTTCTTTCTTGAACTACTAAGTGCCGTAGAGCCGAGGGTTGTTAACTGGGGACTCGTCACAAAGGGCGAAAACGGTAATTACATATATGCAATCGAGTTTTCTGCCTTTTTTTGACTAGTGAAACTGAAATATTGTAACTGCAGATGAGGATAAGAAGTTGAATGCAACATATATAATCAGTGTTGCCCGAAAGCTTGGATGCACCATATTTCTATTGCCTGAGGATATCATGGAGGTATGTTTCAAACCTTCTTTTAACAACGACCACGTACACACACATGTATATATATACAAAGAAGTTAGCTTATGTATTTATTATATTATATTACATATGTAGGTGAACCAGAAAATGATACTGACATTGACAGCAAGCATAATGTTCTGGAGCCTGCAAAGAAAGGGTGCAGATTCTGAGCCATCATCCCCTACCGAACCTGAAGCTGCGGATAATGACTCTGTTACTCCAACCGTTGATATTTCTAATTTGTCGATTGAGGATCAAGACACCAATAATGATTCTCCAGCACCAGATGAAAAAGATTAGTACAATTTTTTCTGCCATTCACAATTATTATTATTATAATTATTTTTATTTTATTTTACATTCAAGGCCTGACAGTGGTAGAACAGATTCTCCTTGAGATGTTTTGTGTGTCATAAGTTTTGCCACTCCCCTAGAGAACAAATATACTGTATTTCCTTTGTACAATAAAAACAATATTTTGTGATCATGGAATAAAATTTGATAGCTATGGTCAGAATTGCCTTGGTGGTGAGTTCATTACTTATTTTTCCATTTCACTACAAAAAAACTGCGAACCAAATGCATATTGCAAACGAAAAGAAAAGTATGAGTAGATCCTTCCAGAAGAAGATTCAAGAGATTTTCTCCTGCTCAGCCATAAGCATGAGCATCTCAAGTCGCTTGTCAAAAAGCAGTGCACTTTCGTCCCTCTTGTCAAGTTCATCACCTTCAGCCTCAAGCCATTTCTCTCTCAAATCATCGAGGACATTTCCTTCAGTTGTATTTGCCTCAGCTCCAGGAGCACTTGGGGCCGTTGTTCGAAGCGAAGAATCTCCAGAAGGAGGTGGCAAAGCCAAAAGCATTGCCCGAAACTGCGGTGTTTCAGCAAAAGTCTCAAAGTTGCACGCCATTGCATCTAGACAATATTCGCGAATCTTGGAGACCCCATACCTTCAAATGTCAGAAATAGATTAAAAATTAATTAATGTATCAAAAAGACTGAATAAATTGGTGAAAAAGGGGATAATTGATGCCATACATGTCAGATAATAGCAACCAATGACATAATTCTGCAAGAGAAACCATTTCTAGTTGGGGTAGAAGAGCATCAGCTACTGCACGTTTAAGAGGAAATAATAGATATCTTGAAGCAGCATCAAACATTTCTTCAGCCTGCACATTAATAATAATTATTAAAAATTCAATACAATTAAAAAATATAAAAAAACATGCAGTGCAAGGAGTTGTAGGTAGGTGAAGCACACCTGATCAGGGTCTATGTCAGTCAGACCATCAGTATACCTGAATCAACAAAGTATGTTTTATGTTATTAATAAGATGAAACAGGTTAAAAGCCATGTTGTTTTAAATATGTTTAGAGCTAGTTTGCGTGTATTTATTTATGACATAGAAAGAGAGACAGAGAAGAAACATACATGTATTCAATCATTTTCTGAAAAGCCTCTTTGCTCAGGTCATGTTCTTCAAGACATGGAAGAGTAGGGTCAGGTAATAAGGAGTCTTCTCTTCCTTGAAGAAAATCTTTCATTCGGGACAATCTTGCCCTGAAATATTCAGATCTTGATGCTAAGATAACTTGATGGCATCGAAATATTTTATCCTCGACCCTCACACAAACATCAGCTAGATCATCTTCCAAATCACTCGTTTGGACTTGGAGTGAACCAACAAGAGATACAATATCTAGATTATTTCCTCTGGAGGAATTGGAAAGAGAGATTTGGAGGGATCGACTCAATGCAGCAGGGAGACGATCTTCTTCAGGAAGGGAGATTCCCTGCAAGATGAACCTCTTCTGAGAGTTTTCTATATCTCTAAGGGATTTGTACTCTGCGTGTCGTTGATGAACTATTTCTTTCTCAACAAGAATTTGGAGAGAATGGCACTTGCAAACACGGCAAATTCTAGCGAGATCTTCCATGTCTTCAACGGCGACCTCAAGCCTATCGGAATAAAAGAAGTGGAAAAGGCTAAAGAGTGAAGGATAAGAAAGCCTTTCGCGCGAGAATCGCACTTCCTTCCTCTCTCTCCAATCAGTCTCGAATTTTTGCTTGAAGAATGGGGATCGGGCAGCCAAGATGAGTCTGTGAGCTTCGAGGGGTCTTCCGTGCACATAAAATACAATATCAGGGGGAGAGTAGCTCGAACTGGATTCTCCACCATTTGATGATGTATTACCTACGCCTACGCCGAAGATTGATTTCTTAAATTAAAAATCAACAATTCGATAGAAGAATTAGGGAAAACTGAGGAATGAGATGAATCGGGCGTGTGTGTGTACCTTGCGAAAGAGGATTAATTAGATGATGATGATTGTTGGCGTAGAATTGGGGGTGGTTGGATTTGCAATTGCAGGCGAAGAAAGTGTCTCTGAGAGAAGCCTGCAAGGGTTGGAGAGGGGGAGGTCGGGCCTCGAAGGACTTGAGCAATTTACGGACCTTGAGATTGAGGGCGGCGTAGTGGCAGCGGTCGCCGTCGAAGGTGTGCTCAGAGCAGATGGCGCCGGACTCGAGAAGCATACGGGCGGCGTCGAGATGGCCGGCGAGGCAGGCGTAGTAGAGTGCGACGGAGTCCCATTGGTCACGGGCGTTGACGTTGACACCGGAGTCCAATAAGTAACGAAGGCGGTCGACGTCGCCGGCGCGGGAGGCCTCGAAAACGTCGCCGTAAGGGACCTTCTTCAAGGGGAGTGAAGAGTTGAAATCGTCCAGGGAGAGCTCTATACCGTCAAGCTCCGACATGCCAATTGCCAAATTCTATTCTTTCTTCACTCTCTCATCACTCACTCACTCCACTCAGTCGAGGAGAGATTTTTTTATAGGGCAATAAGTACAGCTTACACCCTCGAGTTAGGGGTGCTAAACGACCCGAACTCGAGCTCGAGCCCAAAATTAATTGTTCGCCAGCTCGCGAGCTGCTTTTTTTTTTTTTCTTCTTTTTATTATATATATATGAAATGTTATTTGCGGTCACAAAATTGCTATTCGCGGTTTATAACAAAACTCCCTAAAACTGCAAATAGCAAAAAGAAAAAAAGTTCGAAAATTCGAAATCAAGCTTGAAGAAGGGTTGGACTTATATATATATATATATGTTATTCTTATTCTTCTTCTTATTATTAACTAAATAGTCTATAATAATAAATATTTCTAGTATTTAAATAGAAACAAATCTATATTATTTAAATAATTCATAATAATATAATATATTATAATAATAATAGAAAAATTAAAAAATATATATAACTAGAGTTCATTATTTATTTTATAATTTTTTTTATTTTCTTATAAATAAATTTTAATAAAAAAATCAAATGATTTTAATAAAATAAATAAATAATAATAAAAAAAATAATAAATGAGCTCGAGCTCGCCAAAATTGGCTCGAGCCAAAAAAATTGGCTCGATGAGCTCGAGCTCGGCAACATGGACTCGAGTTCGAGCTCGAGCTGGCCAAAAGAGTCGAGTTCGGCTCGTTCCCACCCCTACCCTCAACTACATGGTTTTAACCAGTTTGTCCCCTGAACTATCAAATACTCCCTTCGAGTTTATGGTCAATCATTAAATTATTAACACATTTAATTTGAATGTACAATTACTTTTATGTCCTTGGGTGTTTGTTGTAAGAAACTTAATAATTATATAATTACTACGTGTTGAATTTGTCGATTTTGTTATGAATTTGTGATTGAAGTGAATTAATAGTTTACATGATTTTCTTAATTGTGTTTAACTTTTGGATTCAATATGTTTATTAATTGTCATTTTGTTCAATTTTGTGAATTTTTTGTTTATGCCCTTTATTAAATGCATAATTTTTGGGGGTGATTTTTGTGCATTATAAGATGTCTTATAACACGAAGTACACGAATTTTGTGTATTTGAGTTGTTACTCGACATTTTAATAAATTTTAGAAGAAAAAACAGTGGCATTTCAATGGTTAAATAAGGAGAAGAAAAACGGAAATACGAGAAAAATAAACCAAAAATATGAAGCAAAATAACTTGACAAAATAAGCAAAAAAAGTTCGGTGAAAGAGCTTTAATATATATATATATATATATATATATATATATATATATATATATATATATATATATATATATATATATATATATATATATATATATATATATATATATATATATATATATATATATATATATATATATATATATATATATATATATATATATATATATATATATATATATATATATATATATATATATATATGGGCAAAGTAGTCAAAAAATGTCCGAATGTGGAAAAAATGCCTAGAAATCATAAAGTCAAAGTGCCACATCAGCATTTACAAATAAAATTTAAATGAAAGGGGGTATTTGAGACGTTTTATAGTTCAAGGGGGCAAACTGGTACAACCCCCATAGTTCAAGGGTGTAAATTGTACTTTGCTGAAGTACCTTTTTTTATATAAAAAGAGAATATATTATAGGGGTAGGTACATATAAATCTCCGAACACAAACTTAAAGTGTGGATCAGTCCTTAGAGACGTTTCATAGGCGTATCAGTCCCTAATGCAAAGTTTTACATACAGTTCAGTCCCTAGAGGCAAGTGTAAATTCTAAAATACTCTTTACTTTAATATGAAATTACATACTTTTTCATTTTCTCTCTCTTACTTTTCTCTTTCCTCTTTCCTCTTTTTCTATGTCTCTTCTCTCTCTCATTTTCTTGCCCGTTCCAATTCAATTTCAGTTATTTTTCTTAAAACAACAAACGAAAATGAACACGAAAAGGCGCAAGAAAACGAACTCCTAAATCAATATAAATGAAGCAACAAGAACAAAGAAAAGGAAGAACCAAGGTAGTAGAAGAAGAAAAAAACAAAAAGAAAAGAGGAAAGAGACCCATTTTCGAAGAATGGTGAAGGAGAAGAAATAAGATTTGATTTGTTTCCCCTAATCATTAACTCGGTTCCAATATCTGTTATTTTGTTGTTCGAGTTTGTAAAGGTCATTTATTTATTGTCGATTTTGAACACTCTTCTCTTGGGTATTATTCTTCGGCGACATTAGCACGTTCCCAAAGCAATTTTAGTCCTAGCAAGGATTTGATGTATAATGTTTGATGACTTTGATATAGGAAATGAGAAAAAGGTTTAATTGTATTAGTGATGTTGTAGTATATGCCATATGCAATAGTGGTATTCCTAATGCATCTGGATGGTGTTGAAAGAGAGTATTGGAAGTACTAGTAGTGGAACTTTATAGTGGGTTATATTTGATATAATTGTAATTATGTGTATGTAGTTGCAGGAATATGTCATTTGTTATAGAGCTAACAATACTATTGGTCAGCTCTACTCGTATTTTATATTGAAAACATTGTACTATATATTTTGATGAATTGCACTTACCTGTTGAAGTCATGGTACTATATTTTGTTATGAATTGAGTTTATATGGTTGACTTGACCACAAATTAATATAAATAATATAAACGTACCATACTAATGAACAACACCTATTTTCTAGTTTATTTGAAGATACCGTGTCAATTCTAGACATGTACTTCACATGTGTATTCACTGTACTTACGTGTTTCGCACATCGGACTATAGTTTGTAATGAATTGAGTTATACGATTTCCATGACACTTTAATGATCAATTAGTATAGGAGATGTATAAATTATGTTTTAGATGTGTATGTTAAGGTTGGTGAGCATTATTGTTGCGTTTGGAGTACAAAATGCCATAAATATGTTGAATTTCATACATGATACTCATATAAGTGCACAAGATACCATAAATGTGTTGGATTTATTACATGATACTCATATATGTAAGTGTATAAGACTCATGGGTAGAGCTAAAATTTCCCTCAAATGTTCCCATAATCTATGTTGATCAACTCCTACATCTCATTTCATGTTAATAGTCTAATGAAGAAATGCGTCTTAAAATGATATTATATGGATACATTGGCCCCACAATAATATAAAGAATATAACAGTACAATATGAATGGACAACATATACTTTATCAATAAACTCACAATACTATATGCATGAATAACTCTAACTTTACCAGCTTATACATTGTACTTATAATTTGTGGAACAAAACATACTATATTTTGTGATAAATTGAGTTGAACCCATTTCCTTGACACTTTAATGATAAATTAGTATGGGAGATGCATAAATTGTGTTTTAGATGAGTATTTTAAGTTTGGTGAACATTGGTGTTACGTTTGGAGTCCACAAATGTGTTTGATTTCCTACATGATATTCACATATAGTACAAGACTTGTACGTAGGACTAGTATTTTTCTCAAATATAATGTTACCATAATTGATGTTGATGGATTCTCACGTTATCTCGTTTCATGTAATTAGTCATAAAATGAAGGAATGCCTCAGAAAATGAGTTTATATTGTTGTATTGGTTCCAAAATAATATCTATAAAGCAAGCGTACCATATAAATAAATGGAGAACATCTATTTTTTCATTGAAAGAAGCGTACTATGTGAATGGACAACACGAGCATCACCGGTGTAATGTATTCATTTTTATGTAGAATAAATTGTACCATAATTATAATGAATTGAATTGTACCAATTTCATAATAAATTTAGTGATTAGTAAGTGTGGGAGGGACATAAAATATATTTTAAATGACTATTTTAAGATTGATGAACAATGGTGTTGCGTTTAGAGTTCAAAATGCCTCAAAATGCCGACATGATACTCACTTAGACAACACGTACTTCACCACTGAACCAAATATACTTGATTCTAGACGTAACCGTACTATGTTGACACATTTATTCTACTACATGACTAGCAATACTAGTACTTTTCATCTCTTATTTCAACACCATCCAACCACACTAGCAATACTATTTTTAATACGAAATATACTACTGCAGTTACATAAAACACAAAATGTTTCAAAAAATAATACGAGAAGCTTCTTTCTCAGAACCTATATCAAACTATCAAACATCTTTTAAATATGTGACTAGAAAAAAAATTCAAATCTTGTTTCTTCCCCTACACAATTCTTTGAGAATGGATCTCTTTCCTCTTTTCATGTTGTTTTCTTCACGAGTTTTTTCTTGCGCCTTTTTGTTTGTTGTTTGAAGAAAAAAAACTGAAAATTGAGTTTTAAATTGGAAAGAATTTGACCGGGCAAGGAAAGAAAAGAAAAAAGAGAAAGAGAAAAAGTGGAAAGAGGAAAGAGAAAAGAAAAAAAATGAAGAGAAAGAAAAATTAAATGAAGAAAAAGAGAGAGAGAAAAAAATAATATAATAATGCAAACATAGGAACTGAACAACATGTGAAATTATGCAGTAGGGACTGATCCGTCTATAAAACGTCTGTAGAGACTATACTGATGCGCGTTTTAAGTTTGTATTTGAGGATTTATTTGTACTTACCCCTATATTATTAATTAAATTATTAAAGGAGTAAATAGGAAGGATTACCCAAGACGGTATACAACAGCAAACACCGTATAAAGTAGTACCTTCACATTTCTGGCAATGCAAATATGCTGTGCAGCTCTTCCTCTTACCCACTTTAATTTAAAGTTTGTATGTAGGAACCCAAATCTCTCTCTCTCTCTCTCTCTCTACCCAAACCCAAACCCAAACCCTCATCCCTGCTGCTGCTGCATTCACATACAATCTCAGGTAAAACTCAAACGCAGAAAAAACTCACTATACATCTCCATGCACGATCATGATCATATACATCTACACATAATTAATGGCAGCATCTACAACTTTTTTATTTTTATTTTGTTTTTTTATTTCTCGTTTTCAGAGGAGCTCCTTTCTCTTCCTTCTTCTTCAATTTTTTCTTCTTCTTTTAGTAATACGTAGGTAACCAAGTAACTATAACTACTGTTCTGCATTAATTTCTCTATTTGTCAATTGTCGACGTGATTCTGCGTGTGTGTGTGTGTTTTTCCTTTTCGGTGGGCATGTCTTCTCTGCACTAGCTAGTAAAACGCGCTCTGATATCACGACTGAGTTTTTGGCTCAATTTTTCTTGCTTTCCCCTTTGCTTTTCTGGAAATTAAAATTCCCGTTTATGGAAGAGGGCTTCGAGATTTTACTTATTATTTGTATATGTTTTTTTAGCTCTTTCCGTTTTGTAAAGTGACTTTCAGCAGTAGAAAATCCCTTTTAGTTTTGCATAATTTCTCTGGCTATTCTGAGTTTGGTTGGAATTGTGTAATACATAATATGGTTATGTCATTGTCTTCACTTGTTTTGAGCCTTCAGGGTAAACTGCATTTTGGTGGGAAGTTGATAATTGAGTGTATTGTTGTCTTGTCTGTAGTAACCTGCTGTATTGGAACATATGTCATCATCAGAAGAGGAGGGTGAAATTGTACCAGACTACGTGTCGGACTATTATTTTGAAGATAGTGAGGGAGAGCCTATTTCATTTTCGTGTCTACCCCTTCAATGGAATGAGAATAAGGGTGAGCAGAAACTCGACTCCACAAAATATGCATTTCTGCATGGAATGGTGGAAGATGGGCACCAACTAATCTACAGAAAGGTAATTGCATGGAAGTTTATACTTTCTTACGCCCTCCCTGAAATTTATGCCCTTTTGGATGCCAAGTCTGAAAGATGGATAAAGCTACAAAAACCACGAAAGAGTTATGAAGATACGATAAGGAGCATCTTGATCTCAGTCCACTGTCTCCACTTTATAAAAAAGAACCCGGAGGAGGAATCTGGTGAAGCATTATGGAAAAATATTCGTAGAACCTTCAGGCATGTGTTTAATTTGTACTTGTATACTGTTTGTTCAATACATCTCTCTTCCTTGATTCTTTTGATTACTTGTGCCTGATGCTTACTAATATTCATGCATGTAGTACATATGAGGTTCCACCTTCTGAGGATGACCTTTTGGACCACATGCAATGGATTAAAGAAGCTGTTATATGGGATAAAGATATTGCAAGAGCTAAGGTCTATATTCTCCCGTTAATTACTATAATAGTGGGGCATTATTTGATACACGTATTGGCTTTTGTATGAAAAAATGCAATTTTCTTGCTTAGCATTCTCAAGAGATCCTAATCATGCCTCGTAGTTTTTGATCTTTATACTATTTAGTCCTCTTTTCTTCTGTCCTCGCCTCACTCTGGTTTGTTTGTGTCTGATGAGTCTCAGATTGTTCTCTGCTAATGCTGGCTTCATAAGTAGTACCTTATTCCCCGAGTCTTGCATTGGAATAAGATTGACTGTTGGCAAACGATTCACACTTAGCTTGGATTTTCATGATATCGTGATTTTTTTAATATTGTCTAATTTTCATTTGGTCTGTACCTGTACTTTTTGCTGAAGAATCTCACTTCACCTCTTTGACAGTTGCCATTAGCAGTATAAGGTGTTTTAGTATGAGTAATTGTTCGGTGTGCATCAGCAATTGGTCTGATGTGTTTTTTTTTATGAAATCTTATTGATAATGAATTTGTTAATGAATCAGAATCTGCATACCTTTCTTTCTGAAATATCTGGAAAGAGGAAAGCTTTATGTGAGGTAAGTCTCAAAACTGATGGAATATGTTGCAAGTGCTGTGACATGTGCTCTTTTTTTAATTTCTCAATCGATCAAGAGCCTGTGTGCTTTCTTTTACAGGAAAATAGAATAGAGAAGAAACCAAAGTTTATAGTTCAAGATGATGAGGATATTCACAATCATGATGATTTAAGTGATACAGAGCAAGATGAATTGTTTGATTGTGTTTGTGCATTTTGTGACGATGGTGGTGATCTATTGGGGTATGGACGCACTTTTTAGCTTTTCAGATGTTTGATAGACTATTACATGTTAAAAACTTTAATTTTTCATACTTCTTGGTTGTTGATGTATTTTAAGGACTTTTTTTTTTTTTTTTTATTAAACTTGTTATAAAACTATTAATCGATCCTTTTATTTTTAGCATTATTCATGTTTATGTTTCTTATCTTTTTTTGTGTTACCTATTATACCCCTTCAGGCTGTCACTAAATTAAAATATGGAGTTCCATTAATTATCTTTCCTATTCCTACCTCTCAGAAAAGCATGAATGCTTTATGCTTCTTAACTTTTTTGTACACCTATTATACCTCTATCACTAAATAAATGGAGTTTCATTAAGGTGAATTAGGTAAAATGTGATGTTATGGTCTTACTTCAATGCAGTTGTGAAGGGAGGTGCATACGATCCTTTCATCCAACTATAGAATCTGGAGCCGCCTCCGCATGTGAATCTCTTTGTTATAGCAGTGAGCAACTTGATGTATGGCATATCGTTTCATCCTCTCTCTCTCTCTCTCTCTCTCTCTCTCTCTCTCTCACACACACACACACACACGCACACATACACAACAATCCTATATCTGAATTCAAAGAAATTTCTGGTTATCTGGCAGGCTATTCAGACATTTTTGTGCAAGAATTGCCAATATCAACAACATCAATGCTTTATTTGTGGTAGGCTGGGCAGTTCTGACAAATCTTTTGGTGCAAAGGTGCGGCTCCTTTAGACAATTTAAAATAAGCAAATTTATGAAGACTACTTGTTACTTTTCTAGTTGCTTGCTCTTTAAAATGCTCGCAATTCAGCTATTATTTTCTCTCTTTATTATTTTAATGCAAGTAGAACTCTTTGTGGGGTTAAACTTGAGATTCTGAATGGATACTGAAAGTTGAATCAAACATCTCTTCCTACAGCTTCAAATTGTTACGAATTATTGGCCATAACACATTAAATGAGAGTGTGGGTGTTGTGCGGCATTATGTAGCTAAATCTTCAGTTTAAATGAGTTTATTTCACACTAAATATGGAGGATCATACTGTTAACTACCTAATATTTTCCTTTCTTCTTCTTTTAGGAGTTCTACAACTGTATTTTACAATTTACTTTTGTATCAAAAAGATCCAATACGCCATCGTAGTGTCATACATCATCATGATGGAAGAACTTGTAATGTTATAATTCAAACTTTCTCCTTGCATCAATGCAACACTTAGAAAACCTGGGATATGATAAGTGTCTGAGCAGATAATTTTTTTTCGAAAGGCAAAAGAATATCCTATTCCCCAGATAACGAAGCATCAGTTATCCAAGGACTTTGCTATCAACGTGCTTGCACTTGATGCAGAGTCGGTGGTGCCATGAACAGATGGAGGCTGCCATATCCGATACACTATCGTTTTATCAGATACTGATTTTTTCTGTACTTTCCCTTGGTACATTTTTCCAATGATATTTTCCCTTTTTACTTGCTCATTTTTTGTTCCGACTCTTTCTGGAAGGATTGGGTGCGAGGATTAATTATCAATATCTTTTTTTTTCTTGATTTCCATCCAAGAGTTGGTGGACATACAACATAAACTTTGTTTGTCTGATCTCTTAAGGTCTTCGCTTGTGTCTCGGCAACATGCGGACATTTCTATCATCCACGGTGTATCTCAGAGCTGGTTTTCCCAGGAAATGAAAATCAAGCTCGAGAATTCCAGAAGCAAATCGAAGCTGGAGATTCATTTACATGCCCTGCTCATAAATGTTATGTGTGTAAGCAAGGAGAAGATAAAAATGTTGACGAGATGCAATTTGCAGTATGCAGGCGCTGTCCAAAGGCATACCACCGGAAGTGCTTACCAAGGTTCGGGTTTTATGTTTAATGTTTTTTCTGTCGCTAACTTGCTATGAAAAGTGCATTTTAATCTTGTTTGTTATACCAAGTACACAATGGGGTTTTTACAATTTGATTGATTTGACAGGAATATTTATTTCCAGCGGAATGATGTAAAAGATATTCCTCAGAGGGCTTGGGAGGGTCTTTTGACGAAACGAATCTTGATATATTGCATGTATGTTTATTTAATTTGTATGATGGTTTGATTTTCTTGAATACTTACCTGAGATTCCCTTATATAACTAAATATGTTATTCAGGGATCATAAGATCTGTCGTAACACTCTCACACCGAAAAGGGACCATGTGGTGTTCCCTTGTGTTGATAGAAAAACAGAGCAGGAAAAATTGAATGTGATCTCAGTGAAGAGGAGCAATGCATGTGGAATTCTGAAAGATGAAACTAAAGGGGAGAGCTCAAAGAATTTTGCTATGTCTGAAGGGAGAAAGCCAAATAAGCCTTCCACAATGGAGAAGACAAAGTTGCCTTGGAGAAGTGATCAGTCACTGCCAATGCCAAGTGTAAAAAAAGTTCCACCAAAATCTATGGTTGAAAATATTCCATCTGGAAGTACAAGGGCTGTGAGAACTGCAGAAATGGAAAAGCGGTGAGAACCTGTACTTTGGCAAATGCTTGATATTGTTTTCTTATCTTTTCTTCGGTGAAGATTATGTAGTCGAAAAAAATGAATGTTAAATATAATTATTTCTCTGCAGAATACAGAGATTGATAGAAAATTCTACTTCTTCTCTTAATGTGGAAGAATTCCTTGATGAACAGCGGAGGAAATGTACTCATGTTTTGTCCCCACATTATAAAGTGGAAAAAACGATTACCATGGGGAAGATAGAATGCTCGGTGCAGGTGCTTTTTTCTTTCTCCTATGTAGCATATTATTTGTCATATCTTGGGAAAGATTAAGAAAACTCTCTTTTATAAATGGCCCTCCACTTTCTACTACATGCGTGGAATGGATTCAGTCATTTTCTAACTTAAAAATGGACAATCCTCGTTGTAATTATATAACACATATTCTGCTTTGTGTTGGCAATTTTATTTACGAGAAATGTTGAAATAGAAGTGGTTTAAACAATGTGAAACGGGAGAAACACCCCCTTTCATGTTGCTATTAATGAAGATTTTTGAGTTTTAACAATCATGCTGATTTCATGTTGTTTACTTGTCCAACCTGTTGGTTATTGTTTGTCCAAGGCTATCCAAGAAGCTCTAAAGATATTACAAGAAGGGGGTACCGTTAAGGATGCAAAAGCTGTTTGTGAACCTGCTGTTCTTTCTCAAATTGTCATATGGAAGGTTTGCCATTATGACATAACTACTTATAACTGATTTTAGGACCCCATGGTTATGCAAATTCATCTGAGCTTGTGAATTAAAAAATATATCATGCTGTGTTCTAAAATTTGTTCATCAGATTTTTGTAACAATGTAAATATTCACCTTTTACACCTTCATAACTAAGCACACAAACACTTTCTTCATGCAGAGTAGTAGTAGATGTACAGACAGCTTTACTGAAAGTAATCAGGCTAGTTTCAAATTATATAGGGACTGGTTGCGTAGTTTGTGCATTAATTGTTGTTCTTATTTGCTTACGACCTACTTGTTTTCCTACATTTATGAATAGAGTGTATAGTTTTATATGAAAACTACTCCATATGGATAAATTCGTTGGGTGGTTCAAAAAGCAGTAGATAACACGAGCTTGTTATTCTTATGATTTAATTAACAAGATATGCGTTTGTTTATACAAAAGAGATACTTTATCACTGTCACTGAATTTCTCTGGGTTTTTCTAAACCAGTAAAGAATTCCAAAATTGGTTAGATTCGAGTTTATCAAATACCATTTCAGTGAAGTGTGTTGTTGTTCCATGACAAAGTCAACATGTTTCAACCATTGTCATCTAAGATTCACGTGGTATATGTTTTCACTGTGTTGCAACTTGTATCGTACGCTTTCCATGTATTTGTATATGATTTGAGCATTTCTGAATTTGAAACTTGGGCATTTAAGTTATTAATATCTGCTACATTTTTCAGAAGAAGATGGGGGCCTATCTTGCTCCATTTATCCACGGAATGCGCTATACATCTTTCGGTCGGCATTTCACGAAAGTGGACAAGCTGAAGCAGGTAAGAGATATTTTCAATTTCCTTGTGATGCAACGCTCCATTTCTGTATGTTGATAATAAGTCAGACCAGAAACACAAGGTAAATTTCAGAAGAGTATCATTGTTTGATTCTTCATGCAATATCTGTTCCTTAATATGTATGTGCTAAAAGGGCAAACCTTATCCCCAAAAATGCACTTTTAGTTATCATAGTAATTCTCAAAGGTATCTTTGAAGTTATAGATTAAGTTTCTATTTTTTCCATGTGTCTTGTGTTTGTGTTTGCTGAATTCCAGTCTAGCAAAAATCCATATGTTCCTCTTCACCGTGTTAGTTTTTTCTGTTGTATGAACTCATTGGTACCAGATCTAGTTAATAATCATTGATCCAAATCTGCAGGTTGTTAATCGGCTTTGTTGGTATGTGCAACATGGTGACACGGTTAGCAGACTTTATACTCCTTCGTACCAACTGCTTGCACTCCATTTTATTCCACATTTAAAACCATTCTTCAATTGCATGTACCTTTTGAACTATCCACTGTGGAAGTAAATGGGATCAAACAATTTTCTTGAAACAGATAGTTGATTTCTGCTGCGGATCAAATGATTTCAATTGCTTAATGAAGGAAGAACTTGATAGAATGGGAATACAGTGCTCCTTTAAAAATTATGACCTCATACAACCCAAGGTATAGTTTCAACTAGGTTTATGACTAGTACATCGACTTTTATTTACAATTTTCTGACCATATATGTTAGTTCTATGATCTAGTCGTATTATTTACTTGTATATTTTGTTGTAGAATGATTTCAATTTTGAGAAAAGGGATTGGATGAGCGTTCAGTTGGAAGAATTACCAGAAGGATCTAAACTGGTAATGTGCCTTTAAAGTAGCAAAATATTTCAATCCAATTGCGTTTCACTCATATAGTACGTGCGCAGATCATGGGGCTAAATCCTCCTTTCGGGATGCACGCATCACTTGCAAACCAATTCATAGGCAAGGCTCTCAAGTTCAGACCAAAGCTTCTTATTCTCATAGTTCCTAAAGAGACCAAAAGGTAACCATGCAACCAATAATAATAACATAAACTCTTAATTAGTGCATGCATCGTTTTTCTCCTTAGCCCTTATTAGCCTTAGCCTTGTCGTCTTTTTTGTCCTATGCCATCACAGATTGGATAGAAAGAAGACTCCATATGACCTTGTTTGGGAAGATGACCAAATTCTTTCTGGCAAGGTATAAATTTTTGTAATGCAGCTCTCTTATTTTATCCTTTTAAGCCCTCATTAGTTACGGTATTAAACTCGTTTTTTTTTTTTTTTTTTGGTCAGTCGTTTTACCTTCCTGGATCAGTAGATGTGCATGACCAGCAAATGGAACAATGGAACTTGAGTGCACCGCCTTTGTATTTATGGAGTCGACCCGATTGGACCGCCAAGCACAGACAAGTAGCTTTAGAACACGGCCACTTAATCAAGAAACAAAACACAGAATATTCTAATTATTTGATGGAAGAAAATCAAGACTGCTATGGTGATTTCTCCAGTGTTGCGGATGGCTACAGTGATATAAACTGCATTCTAGAAGATCTTCCGGAACCATCCGATGATGTTTGAACTGAAGAACTTGAAATTATTTTGCAAATCTATAGATTATGTTTATGTATGTATTCAAGAAAATTTCACCTTTGAGAACTAAAAAACATATGCTTGTTTTGTGTTTCAAAATTCCTCTCATTTTCAATCTTCAAAAACTAAACCAAAATCTTATTGCTACCTTGGAAAAAAGCATAAATAAACACTACTTTTCTTCTCAACAAATTGATCGGATTTTTTATTCAATTATACTTATAATACGTATCTTTAATCTTGAAAGGAGTCACCATACATCGCACGGGTGAAGTACTAAAGTAAGCAGTATCACTAAAATCCTCGAATGATGTAAACATTGGTTAACACAAAAGCTTTAAAATTTGTTTGTTTAGAGGAAAACAAAGGAATGATATGTCAAGTCTTTTATAGTTGGCCAAAGCCAATATATAACCTCAAATGATCAAATGAGATGAGAATTAGAGAGTTCAATATGAGAACATGCATTACACAACTCAGAAATTTACAATTACATCAAATATGTCTACTACTACAACTAATTAATATGTTTTTTCTTTTGGTTCTTGTCCACAAATAAAAGGTGTCATTGTTTGTCATCACCATTTAACGAATTTAGCCGTCTTACTCTCTGATCGAGTTCTGCCATCACCGCTGGCTCCTGCTTCTTCCGTTGCTTCGATATATTCGTTGTTATCATAAACCCCAGCTTCTCAAACGCAACCTACATATTTTAATTTATTCTTTCTGAGAACAATAAATATATGAAACTATTCGCTAGCATGCAATGAATATTATTATTTATTTTTTTCATTCGAAGGAATAAAAGAAGCTAAGTAATATTCGAGTGAAAGGGCGTTACCGTCAATAACTCATCAGGATCGAAGAGGTGATGAGTGGTTCTCTGAATAACATTAATCACATCACCAACATGATGTGCCCTAAGCAACTCCTCTTCATTCATCTGCATTCCATTCATCAAAACACAAAATTATAGGTTTGTTTCCTCATCTTTGCAGATTTAAAGAAAAAAGAAAAAAAAAGGAAAGAGTTTTATTACCTTAAAAACTGCTAATGCTACATTAAACAACACCTTTGCCCCTTCATAGAAAAGAACGTCCCATATACGCATAGTTGTCTGTAAAGGGATTGAATTTTTTTAGTATTGTGTGGTTAATTTATCAGGCAAGCAAATACATTTATATATTATATAGATAGATATGCATTCTGACCTCTGAAGGCAGGCTTTTAGAATAGAGGCATAAAAACCACTCTGTGCAAACAAGAGAAACATCAAAGTCCATAGCTTCCAAATGAGCAGCTATCCTGCATTATAGTTTCTCTTCATTTCAATAATATAAATCACAAAAAGCACAATAATAATGCGAAAAAATCGAACAATATAAACGGTATATGTGATCAAGCACCTGGGGCATTTTTTGGTGAGGAGATCCTTAAAAACTCGTTGTTCGACGTGACAGCCAGACAGGTTGCTTGTGTAACAATCATTAACCAAAACATTTTCCAAGAGAACAGCAAGCATCCAGAATGCATCCTCCTCCGTTTTCATGACAAGCAACAATAATGCTGCAACATAGTTTAAACCCTGACAATATCCAACATCAGAATCCCGAAAAGAATAGCCGACAAGAACACGTCTTAGAGCAGCATGCCCTTCTGGAGTGTCCAACCACGAGTGACCTGGAAATGTCCGTGGGAGGTCCTGCACCCCACACATTTACACAAGAATTTATTTTGTCAAGAATATTAAATAATGCTCTATATAAATCAATAACATACACGATTACCATGAAATCTGGAATTAAAGAAATAATACAGACTATGGAAAATTGCCATGCCAGCATCATCTTTTTATAGTAATTACGGACACACATCATTTGTAGTGTTTATCACACTATTTGAACGAGTGTCGTTCATTTTTAAAAGTTCCAACACTAAACAGAACATTTTGGACTTGTCGCTCAAGTGACCTTATTTTTCACCTTTCATATTCAATTCACTTGAAAATTGAACAAGTCAACAAGCCCTTGATCCATCTCTAATTAGCTGATCAACTCAATTTAACCACCACATTGGTTTTACAAGGCTACAACAAAAAAGCAACTTCATAACCTCTAAAAACCAACTATGAGCCATTCATCATCACAAAAACACACACACACACACCTAATGGCTTATAAATCGGAATAACCAAGATCAGAAAATGCACCCCAAACCATTGAACCAAACAATAATAATAATAATAATAATAATAATAATAATGATAAGCTACATCAAAGAAAAAAAAGACAATGGAGAGAGAGAGAGAGAGAGAGAGAGGCATACATACATGATCAATCTGCTTGGTAGCAGGGGTAATTTTGTCCTCAACGGCGGAGGTCAAATCACGGTAATAGCTGTCGGGGACGGTGGATTTCTTTTTGGCGGCGCCGGATAAGGAGAACCAGACAGTGGGCCTCAAATTGGGAGGGATACCTTTTCTGATGAGCCGCTTAAGAGTGATGCCATTCATAAAAGAAGAGAAAACATGACTATCCTCCAAATACCAATTAGGTCCTTTACTGCACTCCAATTCCCACCAAACTTTACCCTGTTCTCTAACCTTCTCTCTAACATCATTCAATACATTAACATCATCAACATTTCCTTCAACTGTGAATCCGTACAGATCTTGGAATTTCACTGTCATGTTTGCCCTTCTTGCATGTATGCTTGGCCTCAATATCGGTATCTGTGCCTGGTACTCTATTGCCATGTCCCTCTTGCTCTGGGTCCCACTGCTCCCCCCACCGTACATCTTCTGATATCAGAGAGAGAGAGAGAGAGAGAGAGAGAGAGAGAGAGAGAGAGAGAGATGATGGGAGAGAGTAACAGAGACAGAATAGCTGATGGATGGATTATTAGATCAAGAATTCAAGGCGAGAACAAGGAAAAATGAATGAAATGGTCGCACCCTTCTCTTTTGAATGGAAACTAAGGAAGAAGTTCAAAATTGAATGATTAAACAAACAATTTACAAGTAAGATTTTAGAAAAAGTCCATTTTTTTGTTATGTACCAATAAACAAACAATTAATTAATATACAGAAAGAAACAAACAGAAGAAGCAGGAGGCCCTCAAAAAGTGAAAAGCTTGGATCTTTATTCAAATATGGATTAGTGAAACACAAGAATCAAGACCATCACCACCAACAATATTTAAAAGGGGTAAATGAAAACGTAAATAACAGACGAAAACAAAAACCCAAAATAACACAAGGAAGCGTAGGAATTGTCTATCCAAACACGATTAAAAGAAAACAAAAAAAAAGAGGGGGAAGGATAATTGGATAAAAAAGAAAAGAAAGGAAAGAGTAATCGGTGATCGACGGGAAAATGTAAAAAGGAGGAAACAATCTGAATCAGTGGTCTCAATTTAGAGAAAGCAAACGGAAATCGGACAATTAACCATTTCATTACTCTTTATGACAGCTCCCTGTAATAAAACTATCACTACAAATTATTATTATTATTTATTTATTCTCTTTTATAAATTGTTTTTTTTTTAAATAAATAAATACAATGTGGGATGCCTCGATGTTTTTATTGGCGTAGGATGTTGCACCCATGTTGTTCATAAAATACGAAAAACATAAATATTACAAAAAGAACAGTTGCTTTCATCTATTTTTAGTGTTTAGAAATAAGACCAACATCAATTGTTTTTTTAGAAACATTAAAAATTGGTCGTTGGATAAATTAGAATAGATTACAATTGCATTCTGGATTTTTTTAATTTTGTCTTCTTATTATATGACTACAAAGCATGTTCTTGTAGATAATGCAGCCGGTGAAATGAAATGTGCCGATAGTTTTATACAGTCGATAGTTTTATACACTGGCAAAGCCAAGATACAACGGTTTCTCAATCCCCCCTTGTATTTTGTATAGATATTTACTACTTTTCATGTAATTTATAATAATGTATTACTCGTATAATAATTTAGTCCTGCAATTGATGATCTATCTAATCGAAGGGGTTAAAGAATGCAAAATCAAATGATCCGAGTTTGAATCACTCACCCAATTATCTTTTCTAAGCCAAGTTTGTCACATCCCTCAATATTGTTTAATTTTAGAATATTCCCATTTGAATTTGAGAAATGAGACATGTAATTTAAATATCACTTTATAAAAATAGTGGACCAAAAATTTACAATTTACAAATTTTAGGTGAATTGTGGCATTATTTAAAGAGAAAAAAATGTGAAAATGTTAAGATAATTTACAATTTACAAATTTTAGGTGAATTGTGGCATTATTTAAAGAGAAAAAAATGTAAAAATGTTAAGATTTGTGGGAGAATCGAACACGCCCTATTTATGGAAGCAGAATATCATTACCACCTCAACCAATAGCCGTTTCGGTAAATTTATGTATAACTGTACTATTTCTTTAAAATCAAAAATCAAGGGGGTGCAACTGCACCCCCTAGATCATAGCTAGATCCGCCACTGCATGTAAGCATCTGAAACAATTATGCAAGCAGGATGAATTTCACTCATTAAGCAATAGGACAAGAAATTGCAGAACACTGCATTAGCAAATATGAATTAGCTTATCAACTCCGTTCAACACGCTAAACCCAAATTAACATACATATTGCAAGTTATTATCGAATGCGATTCTTGTGTCCACTAATCTTTCCAAATCATTGGCCGAATCTCTGCACCCTCCGCTGTCTTAATTCCTCAACGGAAATCGCCTGACTACTGCCAGTAGTCGGAGGAGGGGGCGACGACCCCCCACCATAGTCGTCATCATGCTCTGTCCCACACATTTCACAAACACTCGATTGACTTGTATTATCGTATGTACACGCTCCACATCTCCATACATTTTCCGCCTCACTCCCGCCAAGAATTCCTCTACCAAATACTCTGCTCCGTTGTGAAGGCACTAAAACACCATGTGCAAATCTAAAAGGCCAACTCATGAAACGGGCAACACCCGTTATTATCTTCACAAACGGGTTCCCACCAGAGTTCGAAGCTGTCAATTTCAAGTATAGAAGCCCAGCAAGTATTCCACCAAGATGACCAAGAAACGAGACACCAGGTACAAACATCTGGACAAGAACAAGTTCTGCCCAAGCAGCATAACGTGTTGGAACCACCAATCCGTACAGATGTGTATAGTCATCCGATCGAGAGTAAAGAACTACTTTCATGGCAAAAAGCACACCGGAGAATCCGACAGAGTATTCGTTGTAATAAGGACTATCGTAGTCGAAAAGCAGAAGACCTTTGGCTAGTAAGAGAGTGATGCCTTGAGACATACCGACTAGAGCTGCAACCATGGATGCGTATTCAATACTTCCCATTGCACTCTCGAGTTGTGTGCCTTTCCATAAAAGTGATAGCATGTTGTAGAAGAGGTGGGGTTCGTTAATGTGATGGAATGCCGACAAAATGAAACGCTTCAGGTCTTTGTGCTGTGCTTCAACAAAATGTAAAGCTATGTTACTTTATTGCAAAACACACAAAGTCAAATAATTACATGATTCTGATTCCTTGAGAAGTCACTCTTTATCATTTAAGTTTAACTTCCAAACAAACAAAAACTAAACGTGATACAAACAATCTAACAAAGCAAAAACACAGCAAACTGATGAACAAGTGTAACACGAACTACATGATATAGATGTAATGAGTTGAGAAAACCAGTAAGGCAAAAAACCAACAAACTAAGTGTAACTATCTAAGTTGGTATCTGAAAAGAGAATAATAATAATAATTGGATTTTGCAGTATACAGACGGAGAAAGTGAAGAACATGTTCTTCTACAAATCAACAGACAAATTGCAGAAAGTCAAGAAAACATAAACGGTAAGAGCATTTGAACGAACTTGTCAACTAAAGTATGCAATGTCACACAAATAAGTTACATATATGAACAGAGCTCCATTTGCAGGGTGGGTTCTAATTTGTTCTGGACCAGCAGCACCATTAGCATTAGATCAAGTATGAATTTCACATCAGACATTAACACTTGAGCAAAAGAATCAAAACATCGTTAAGCTAACTAATAGAAGCAAAACATGAGAATAAATAAATGTGGAAGAAAAAATGAAAAAGATGAAGAATTGGGGTTACCTTGAGAATGAGGTGGGGATTGAACAAGACATGATTGAAAGGGGGGAGAATTGGATCGAGAAATTTAGGGCGCAAGTAAATGAGTGTGTTAGCAGCAATAAGCCCAGCCGTGACAGGGGGTTTACGCTCAAGACGGCCGTACTCGCTCAACGCCTGAATCAGAAGCAGTCCGATCATTCCACCGCCCCTACCTCTTCTTCTATCCATCTCCCTCCTGCAAACTCTAATTCAATTTGGAATTGGAATTGGAATTTGAATTGGAATTTGAATTTGAATACGGAAATGGAGAACAACAGACTGCAATATTAGAAGAAGACTCCTTCCTCTATTTGTGTGTTTTTTTCTTGGTGGGCAAGTATGGTATCATCGGTCATACAGGAAACTTCCAGATTGTTCTTTATTATTATTATTTTTACTTCCACTATTTGGAAAAAAATAAAATTCGAAATATATGACAATCAATTCCTTAATCCTTATTATTATTATATATATTTTTCTTTCGTAATCCTTGTGTGATAATTTGTTGTACGATTGTAGAAATTACTAGTTTCGGAAGAAAAAAATCCTATTTGATTTTAGTGTGAATGAACAAACTGGGATAAATAAAAAAAAAAAAAAAAAGAGCTAAGGGGTATAAATAATTAAACATAAAGCAAAGGAGGACACACAAACATAGAAGATATTTGAGGACGCATGCAGCTAATTAAATAAATAAAATGAGCGGCCAAGCTTCTCTATCCATACAATTACAAATACTGGTGTTGGTGTAGAGAGAGAAATGGCAGCTGCAAGAGCCATTATTAGCAGCAGCAGCGGCGGCTGCTGCGGAGACAAAGACCAAGTGTTTGTTGCGGCGGTGCCATTGAGAGCCGCAAAAGGCCCCGCCCAATTGGTCATGTCGACTGCTGCTTACTCTCTGAATCTGCAGCATTTCATGGTCATCATCAAACCCTCGTCTTCTAATAACCAGCAGGCCGGTGCTCATGATTTCAACATCAATATAATGTTTTTCTTTCTTTCTAAAATCTATTCATTGGGATTAATAATAATAATTGAATGTTTCATGTTTAGGCGGAGGGTGGGGGTATGATGGTATATGATTTTCAGCCAGAGGAGCCTGAAAGCATATGGGTTGCAGCTTCAGCCTTGTCTGGAGCACAAGTCTCTGGTCACTCACTCACTCACGTTTTTTATTTTATTTATAATTCCAACAACTAATCTAATTAATTTGTTAATTTTAATAATTTGATCAGGAGTTATTCTTGTGAGGAAACTAAAGAAGCTACCTAATAGGAAATGTTGGTTTATTAGTTACGCTAAACAAAATGATACACACGCAGCAGCAACAATATTCAACCAAAACTGGGATACTAAACTCACCATAGGCCATCATGATTGTCGACATTATTCTCAAGGTTATTTACTATCTATCTATCTATCTATCTATCTATCTATCTATCAATATATATATGGCATGGTGCTTGTTTAATTAGTAGACTAATATAATATATTTATCTGCTTCTTTAATTTTTGGAAGGTCTGGTGGAGTACCTAACTGCTCAGAAGCTTGTGTTGGACCATCTAAATTAAGCAAACCACTTGCAACACAATGTGACGTACAATTATATTGATCGCTTCATATATAATTGTATTGTATTGTATTGTATTGTCGTTAGGTACAATTATATATACATGTGTGTGTGTATATCTTCTCTTACATCGATCTACTGATCAGATACTTAAGAAATTAGAATGCATATATATATGCTCTTGTGAGATGTCACTTCCGGCTCTCGAGAAGCTATTATATTATTTCTGTAAACGTTGCATTGAGTTGGGTTTATTAAATCATGTTAAATATAATTTTGTTTCTTCAGAAATTCATGCAATCAAGTTTTTGTATCAAAAATTGGAGGATTGAATTCCTTAGTAGACCAACTTATTACAAGATTCAATATACGAGGGAGTCGACTAATTGGTTCAAACTTGTTCAACTATCTATCTACTCCCCGCCCCGCCCAGCCCCGTGTTTTCCTCCTTGAGAATCAGTTTTATGGTGGGTTATTTTTTTCTTTCTTCATTCTTATTAATTAATTGTTTATCTCGAGTCGACCCTATTATCGCTCCTAGACAGAGGTGAAAGTCAGACGGAATGGACCGAAACCAACAAATTAGAAAACTCGTAAAAAAGAACATATATGAAATGTTTTCAATAATAGAAATTCAATGGCTTTAATTACATCTCCAAAGGCAGAATTTGGGATAACGCCAGCTCCTCTAATGGCTTCATTCTCCTCCCGAGGCCCAAATACCGCAACACCGGGAAATCCTCAAGGTTAATCCCATTTAATAATTCCTTGCTACTAATAAGGTTTGAGAATTCTTCTTTAATTTACTGATAATTGAGTTTCCATTTGATGTCATGGATATAACACCAGCCGGACATCACAGCGCCTGGAGTTGATATCATGGCTGCCTATACAGAGGGAAACGGGCCCACAGGCCTGCCGGATGATGAACGCACGACTAAATATTTATTTATTTATTTCTGGAACATCTATGTCTACCCCTCATGTTGCTGGTGTAGTTGCTCTACTCAAATCCATCCACCCTCATTGGAGTCCGTCAGCCATTCGATCAGCTTTGATGACTACAGCTACCACTTTCACATCATACTATTCATTCTCTTACATCACCATTCGGCATTACATTTTTATGTTTACTTACAGCAAGCACGGTCGATAACACTAATAAGCCTATGCTCGAAGAGTCATCCTTAGTCGAAGCAACACCATTCAGTTCCGGAGCAGGGCATATCAAGAAACTCATTCAGAACAACGGATGCCTCCTGGCGAACACGTTTAGCCTGTTAGACTTTAACTACCCTTCGATTACTGTGCCAAAGCTCTCCAGCTCGGTGAAAGTGAATAGGATACTTAAGAACGTCGGTTCGCCTGGAATATACTTTGCTCGTATTCGTCCACCACTTGGAGTTTCGGTTTCTGTAGAGCCTAATACTTTGGAATTTACAAAGAATGGTGAAGAGATGAGATTTCAGTTAACCATGACTAGAGACACAACTAATGTACAAAGTAAGTACTCATTCGGAGAGTTGCTATGGTCGGATGGAAAGCACAATGTGAGATAGTAGGAACTACTACAACGTGAATACAATTCTATCTTCGATTATTCTATGAAGCCAGACTACCCAGTTGCTATGGTCGAATGTAAACCACAATGTTAGATTTTTGTTTAAGTTTTTTAATGAGTTTTTAAAATTTTGTTTAGCTTCTTTTTATGTTTGAAATTTATTTAGTTCTTTGAAATTAATGTATGTTCGATTATTCTAAAGTCTACACATCAACCCAAACAATTGGACAATAATACGATTCATTCATCTTTCAAAGTGATAAAAAATAATCATCAGAATCAATAGTAGATGAGTTACTCATTAAAGGATCGTACAACACAACTTAAATGATTGCCTTTTTTTTTTTTTTTTTTTTTTTTTTGACATATCTATTTAATGTTCACATTAATGTTAAAAAAAAAAGAACATTTCTTTACTTTATATTTTCACTTTTCTATCGGAAGCTTAGCCCCCCACCTAAATGTCTAACGGTACGCTTCAGCCTAACCATACTATATCGAGTGCAATATAAGAGCTTCAATTTTAATCATCTTGAAGGGGTTGTGATCAATTGTAGCACTACCGAAGCCAAACTTAATCACATTAGCAGGAAATAAGAAGCAACAGGGACAAAGCAAATAAAATCAGAGGTAATAATGGCTCTCCGGCTTTAACATGGTGTTAAAATCTCATCCCAGTTTATTCAAATCACAAGATAAGCAGAGTGTAATAGCATCTATCCTAAAAAAAAATTCAAACTTTAATCTTTCTCATACAACCCATATTTACTTGGAAGAGCTACAGGGCTGATCATTATTAGTGGGACGACCACGAACAATTTGCTGAAAACTTAGACCTATAATACTCCAATTGCAGTTCAAATTTAGAAATAATATCGATCATCTCGTTCAAGAACATGTGTGCATAGGGGTGAAATTGGAACAGAAATTCCGATATGAAAATTTCCCACTGTTCTTTCATCCCAAATTTCGAATTTCCGATTTCCAATTCAAAAGTTTTGACATAATTTTCCAAAATTACATAAAATATTGAATATATATATCTTGCTATACCAAGTTATGGTTCAATACACATTACCTTCCATCATCAATTATATTTATTGGTAATAAATATGACCAATAACAGTAAAACCAGAACAAGAAAATGTAGTAGTACTGTTTTTTTTTCTAATTTCCACGAAATATACAAACTAGTAAACTAAGAATAACAAACAGAGGAGGAAAATAAAAAAGGAAAAACAAAACCTTGAGCTTAAACTAAAAACATACTGTGCATTTCATCAAACACGTTATGTGCACTAGTTTATTTCACATGAGAATGGCGTACCGCAAACTGTCCCGAACCATGAGATGAGTGACCTCCGAGGTTTGCGGCAACTCCGCCGACACCCAGACCCCATCAGGGCCGTTTATACTAGGAGGGTGCGATAGGCACGAGAGCAGAGAGAACGGAGCTCGGAGAACCCCACAGAAGAAAGAAACCCCATTGTTCCACCGCGACGGCGATCTTGTATCCACGGCGGCGGTGGCAAAATTCTCGTCAGCAACGCGGGAGGTGTTCTTGTTGGAGTTGAAGAAGCTTCTTTTCATGGCTACGAATATTCTCAGCATCTTTGTGGAGATTGAATAATTATTGTGCAGGAAGTTGGTATATAGGCAGGCTAGGCTGGTGGTTTAATTGCTAGTGCTTGTGCCTATCATCACTTCACTTTAAATGGACCTTCGGTAGGTAGGGTACCTTTTCACTCCCACTTACTCCCAAATTATTTATTTTCTTCCTATTTTCAATTATATTTACTAATACTATTTCTACATATGTCTATATATCGGCAAATAAATAAATATTTTATTCATATTTGAATTTGTCTTAAGCCACCAAAAAAGGAGAAATATAGATGAAGACACCATTGGGTTACAAAAAGCATGTTCAACCACAAAACTATAAACAGTCAATATTAATGGATTAGTGGTACAAACGCATCTCATTGCTTTCAAGAAAACATTATATATTCATTGCAAATCAAGACACCTAAGAACATCATAAGTTCTACTGAACAAATAAAACACAACATCATCAACTATATTCATAAATATGGAAATAAAACTCTTTTTTTCCGCAGTTCTATTGGTATTTTTACCATTCTTGGCGTATCACGCCCAAGCTGTCACAGTATTCGATATCTCAAAATACGGTGCAAAACCCGGCGGTGAAGACATCAGCCCGGTACGAACACACACAAATAACATCAATATATATATTATTTTTAGATGTATATAGAATGTATTATATATATAGGAGTCCTAATAATTATACAACGTATAGTACGCATGCATGTATGACATTTGTTATCGTACAATAGGTTCTAGCTAAGGTGTGGAAGGAAGCATGTGAAGCAACAAATGCAAGCAAAGTATTGATTCCAAAAGGGACATGGTACCTTAGCCAAATTAGATTGGTCGGCCCGAATAAGGCTCCATTGGAGCTTGAAGTACAAGGCACCGTTGAAGCCAATCCCGATTACACTAAATTACCCCAAAAAGATGGTCAATGGATTACTATCAATTATCTCGATGGCTTCACCATCTCCGGTGGCGGTGTCTTTGACGGAAAGGGCGAACAAGCATGGAAGGCTAACGATTGCCACAAGAATCCAAATTGCCCCAAACTCCCCATTGTACGTCTATCAATCCGATCTTTACATACATTACATCATCGTTATATCTCAATCCATTTGATATTTCACTTTTTTAAGTATATTACTAATACAAATTATTGCATGCATGTATGTAATTATTATTTATCAGAACCTTAGCTTGAATTTCATCAAGAACGCCATAATCAAAGATGTGACCACAAAAGACAGCAAGAATTTCCACTGCAATTGCATATCGAGCCAAAATGTGACTTTCCAAAGGTTCACAATCAGCGCACCAGGCGAGAGCATCAACACAGACGGGATCCACATCGCCAGAGTATCGAATGTCAAAGTACTCGACTCCAATATAGGAACAGGAGACGACTGCATTTCTATTGGAGATGAGACCACTGATCTCCACATCGAGAATGTCAAATGTGGGCCCGGTCACGGCATCAGTGTTGGAAGCATGGGTAAGAATCCGGCAGAGAAGGACGTCACCGGAATTACAGTAAAGAAGTGCACATTCACCGGAACAAGCAACGGCGTGAGGGTGAAGACATGGCCCTCTGCACCGGCAACCCTAAAAATATCGAATCTGCATTTCGAGGACTTGACAATGAACAACGTCAGCTATCCTGTAGTCATTGATCAACAATACTGCCCATGGAATCTCTGCACCAAAGACGTAAGTGTGTGTGTGTGTGTGTGTGTGTGTGTGTGTGTATATATCCATTATATATCTCTAATTTCTAGTTATATGATTAATAATCTTGTATATATATCAATAATGTAATTTGCATGCATGGAATATATATATATTGCAGAAACCATCGTTGATCCAAATCAGCGGATTGACGGTGAAGAATGTGAGGGGGACAGCGAACACGAAGGAGGCGTTGTTATTTTCTTGCAGTTCAAGCAAGCCATGCCAGAATGTTCAGATTAGTGATATTGATCTTAAATATGTCAACTCAATTCCCGCCAATTTCACCACCGTTTGCGAGAATGTGAAGCCCACTGTTTCCGGAAAGCAGAACCCGCCAATTTGCCCACCCCCTGTTCAGGCTTCTTAATTCCTTCGTGTACATGCATGCACAAATATGGAGTCTTGATTTTCTTTTCTTTTACTATATATAATTAATGTGAAATAAGTAAAGAGATGATGATGATGATCTATCACGTATTCAATTTTAGGAATTTTGAATAGGAATTTTGAATAGGAATTTTGAATGTGTGGTCTGTTATGTATATCATATATGCTCGATCATTGAGTAAATCATTTTTGTATTGTGGTGTTCACACCTGGAATAAAATAAAACATTTGTTTTATTTTATTTAAATGAAATCATATTTGAGCTTGCAAGAGTTGCAGTCTATTAATTCATGAATTTAGTTTTCCAATTATTTTTAAGGGTGAATAGCAATTAACCCATTTTGATTACATGTTTTTGCGGATAACCCTTATTCTCTAGTAATATAAGTTATAAGCCCCAAATAAAGTTTTCAATTACCTAAATACCCTTTAAATTATAAATTTCAAAAATAAGCCCCAAACAAAGATTTCAGAAAGGGCCTCTTCTTCCTTAAGTCAGGGACTGATTTGCAATTTTCCAAAAATACACGGAACATAGCTGACTAGCGCTCTCCTTCCGGTGAACACTCTCTCCGGACTCACCTCCCTCCATATCCTCAACCTCGGCTTCGCCCAACCACTCCAACATTTTCTCCGACGAAATTCGATTTGGTTTGGAGCTAAGATTCAAGCTCATTATTCTTATGCAAAACCCATCAATAACCCGTGAATATCCAAGAAAATATCTGCCCACATCGAAAACAGAGTTTTTCAGAGAAAACAATCCACGAAAAAACTATTTTTTTCATTTTTTGGAGTCTTCTCCGGCGTCTCCCGATAGTAGCCCATCATTATGCAAGGTATCTGATGCCTCTGGATCCCGACCTCCCCATTGTTTTTCAGCTTTTTATCGTCTTCTCCGATGATGGCGACGATTAGGGCTTTGGTGGTGGTGACGATTAGAGCTTTGGCTGGTGTTTAGTAATTTTGCTACTATACGCTTGCTAATATTCTAGAATTCGCAAAAGAAGAATCAATTGGTCTGGAACTGGCAAGGAAAAGTTGGCGGTGGAGGGGACGAGAAGAGCGGAGGAGGCGGGCGACGACGGCGGCGTGACAATGTGATTGCCGGAGGTGGTGTTGTGAGTTTGGTGGTGGTGGTGATTTCATTGGGGAAGACATGTTCTTTCTCTCTGTTTGGAGGCGACAGCTTGACGAGGTGATTGTCGGTAGTGGCGGTAGGAGTTTCCCGGTGGTTGTGGCAATTTCAACGGGGGAAGACACAATTGCAACGTAGGGGGTTAATTGCTAATTGTTTTAACATGGGTTTTTCTTTAGCCCTTACAGCTTACACGGGGGGTCTGTGCAAATAACTCAAAAGACATAGAACAACATTAAACATAGCAATAAACAAAGAGTATTTTAAGGGCTTGTTAATTCTCCCTAGTGGATGGATCACCGAGGGTGGGAGCCCGCACATTGAACTTTAGCAAATAAATAGTTTATTGAATAGAACGGAGATAGGTAGTATGGGGGAAGGAATTGGTCTCGGCGGCCTCCTTCCTCTATCGAGCAATGCCAGGTTCAAAACTGGAATGATTGGCTTGGCAGGCATCTGAAAATATCTCTCGACTGAGGCTTAACCAGTCCTCTTGTGATGGATTCGGAAATTGTGATGGATTCGGAAAGTCTTCCACTTTTCTATATATCACCTGGTGATCCATATGCATAGTAAACTTTCTTTCTGGCGATCAACGAGTGAAGCCTATTAAAGAACATGAATAAAAGGACTTAAGAGTCTTTAATTTATAATACTATAACTTTCGTCTCTAAGGGCGTGTTTGTTATACACGAGGGCTGCCTTCTAACTTATTCTACGGCATACTCAATGGGACCACTCTAAATGGAGCTTGGCCGAGAGAATCCCAACAAGATATGCAAGTACATATATAAGGGAATTTTGAATGCTTTTAAATTTATTCTTTTAACACATATATCAAATTAAATTTGAATTGCCCACCTTGCATTAATGACCAACTTGGTTCGAATAACGATAAATTCGGCCAAGAATTAGTGATAATATATATTAATTGCTTAGATCACCTGGGGAAGTGTAGTAAACGAACTAGGAGAGCAAAGCGGATCAGTAGCTTGACAATTTGATGATCCTGAGGTCCCTGCGAAATGAATACACTTGAACTAAGCCGGGGGTTGATTCGGCGGAAACCCCTCCGACGCTCAAGTCAGATGTACGGATCGTGGAGATGGTAGAGAGACTAAACACTCTAGATTACTTGTGAATAATAGAACGTACCTTAACAAATGGGTAAAAACCTCTATTTATATGTCGTTGATTGGGTTGGGTTTACTTAGTTGGGCCCAAGCCTTATTTTGAAGGTGTTTGGGCTTTCGTGTATTGGACCCAATTATTAGATAAATTGGGGGCCCATTGGGTCGGCCCAATTAGGTATATCATTAGGCCCCCAACTCTCGAGTCGAGATGGGAGACTTGTCGAAGGGATTCCGGATCGTGTCGACAGTTAAATGTGACGTGGTTTACTGGATCGTAATTCGTAATTCGGGGTCGTAATTTGTAATTAAACGGCTCCGAAGCCTCTTTTTTTTTTTTTTTTTTTTTGTATTTATTTGGCAACAAGATATATATTTAAGAGTTTTAAATAATATACCATGGCAAAATAAACAGAATCGTGTTGTGGTGGAGAGAATTAATTTCCAATCCTTGTGGGGAATAAATATGGGTAAGTATTTTAACTTTTGAGTCTCCTTTTGTGCTCTTGCTCCTTTATTTTTTGTGGTAGAGTAAATTTTATTTTTTGACTGTTTCTTCAGAGAAAAATATTTATCATGTCGGATCCGGGTAAGTCGAAATCTTTGCGAATTAAGATTCGAGATCAGGTTAAAAGGAGCGAGATTCCGTTTGATACTGTGGGTATGGAACGCGAGAAGGTAGTAGTATCGGATGCGGAAATCGGATCCACGGTAGATGGTGCACAAATTGAGAGGAAAATGGGGGTGGTAGGTGGCTTGGCTGCGGGCGTTGGCTCGAGCCACGTAGCCAGCCGCCAAGTGTTGAGTGAGGGCGCGCGCCTCGAGGGAGGCTTGGAGCCGAGCGAAGCCGTGGAGTCAGTGGCTTGCATCGGGACCGAGGAGATGAGAGAGAGGGGGTGCTGAGCTGACGCGCGCGCGTCAGCTCATGGGAGAGAGAGAGAAACACGCGTGCGTCGGTTGGTGGAGTAGGTGGACGCGCGCGCATCATTGGGTCGTGCGGAGGTGAGCGGACGCGCGTCTCTGGGGCTGTTTTGGGGCGACGCGCGTGCGCGTCTAGCGCGCAAGCCGAGGGCGACGCGCGCGCGTGTCATCGTTCTGGGGCTGCTGCGCGTGGCATTGCGTTGGGGGAGAGAGTGGGGGTGCATCCGGGGAGGTTTTTCGGGCGTGTGGAGGCGCGTTGGGACCCGTTTTTCGGCGCTTGTCGCGCGAGAGCGATGGTCGAGCGGATGAGGGTTTTGACTCAGTTGATGACGTGAATAGGAGGGGCGTGTTAAGTGTATATTTTTACACTTTATCGTATCTTTTTATTTGAGCTTTTGGTGTGTTTTAACGATAATTGGTGCTTAAAAAGTTGATTTATTGTATTTTAGGTACAAATTGAAGAATTGGAAAAGTATGGGGTCAAAACTGCAATTTGGCGAAAATATGGGTCAAAAGTGAAAATATCAAAATTCTGAAGATTTAAAGCTCGGACCCCCGTCCCAGTTTTAGTGCAAATCGTGGGACCCCCGTCCGAGAATCCGAAGCTGCACAGTAAAGGGATTTTAATTGCACAAGGAAACTGCCTTCTTCCCCAAATTCTTCACCCTTTATAAGACCAAGCCAAGCACACAATTGGGGATCTATCTTTTTACGCAAATTCAAGAGCAACGAAGATCAACGAAGATTCAAGCATAGTTTTTCTTATTTAATTTATTTATTTTATTTTATTTATCATAAGAATTACGAGTAGCTAAGTCTTTATTTCTAGGATTTTATTTGGAACCCTATGTGGGATTTATGAACCCAATTCTATGATTTTATGCAAGTTTTAATTCCGGATTATTTCTTCTACTTATTTTATTAAGTGCATGAACTTGATCAACTTATGTGCTTCTATGTTATTGTCAATCGCATGAATCGGAAGATCGGGTTAATAATTAGAACTGTGGTAGAAGAGCCTTTGTGGTATTAACATAGGAATATAGTTAATCTCTTAGGTAGCCATTATTGAGATTTGTTCTTAATGCTGTGTTCTAGAATTAATTGCATAGGAATATAGTAATTGAATCTAGAGTATTAGAATCGTAATACACGCGGAAGCGGGTTATGATTATTTTAGCATCTCAGGTTAATAATCCGGGTTAATTGCTTGCATAATTGAATCTAGAGTATTAGAATCGTAATACACGCGGAAGCGGGTTATGATTATTTTAGCATCTCAGGTTAATAATCCGGGTTAATTGCTTGCATAATTGAAGGAATTGGGGGAATAATAATCACATAGGGGGAAGAATAAAATCCTAGGCTTGTTTTATTTGATTAAATCTTCGTTTTAATTGCTTTCTTGTTTTTGTCGTTTTAATTGCTTTAGTTTAATTTAGCTTATTAATCATCTTTCGACTGTGTAGGGTGGGCTTGATAATAATTGGTAGAATTTAGCGTCTAGGGTTAGATAATTAAATATTCCCTGTGGGTTCGATATCCGGACTTTTAGTCCACTATATTACTTGTACGATACGTGCACTTGCGTGTAGGTTTTCGCCCAACAAGTTTTTGGCGCCGTTGCCGGGGAATATTTTAATTATTTATTTTATTCTAGCTCTAAATTTGAACAATTTTCACGATTCACCCAATTTTTTTTTTTTTTTTTCTTTTTTTTTTTTTTTTTTTTTTTTTTTTTTTTTTTTTTTTTGGTTACATGTCAGGTTACAATTTTCGCGCACCTCAAACGGGATATGAATGGCTTCCGTCTGGCGAATACCTCCAAAATACCTATGATATGCCGTCACTTTGTTCAATATGTGGTGGAGATCATTACACTAACCAATGTTGGTATGCACCGAAAGCAAATAATTTCATAGATAACATCAACGGCGGTTATTGGAACACATACACCAACACGCCACGAGAACCCACTGTTCAGGAGTGTTATTTGAACTCCGTCCTTGAAGAGTTTATGAAATCCACTCAAGCATCTATCCGAAGATTGGAAATAATGTTGGAAGAGATGAAGCTCAAGAGGTCTCTTGAAAATATTTCAGACAATATCGAGAATGGTTGCAACAAAGAAAATCCGTCTGAAACTTGTGATGAGAAAAATCCTTTAGACCTAGAAAATAGTGTCGATGAGAGGGAAAAAGAAATTACGAAGACACTTGAAGATGATGAATCAGACAATGAAATCGAGCTCAACTCCAAAGA